TGATTGTAAGCCTAGCAAAGCAACAAAAAAAAAAATGATGGTAGAGTTGCAATACTCGCCTTGCGAGTTTTGCTTTTCAAGCTCTGTACGTGAAGAAAAGCCCATTCCATACGGGCCGAAACGATCCGGGCCGGACCGGAAGGATCTGATTCGGTCCGGGCCAGCGGAGGAACGAACCGGCTTCGCGCCCATCGGCCACAACGAAGTCGCGTGGTGTTGCGTTCCCGTTTCCTGTAGCTGCCTGCGAGAGAGCAAGAGCAAGAGCAAGAGCAAAGAAGCTCGTCGTCTTCACCCAAATCTCTCTCCTCCTCCTCCTCGCTCCCACCACGCGCCCCTCGCTCCGGCAAAGATGGCAGCTTCCATCTTGGCTCGCAAGTCTCTCCAGGCTCTTCGGGCCCGTCAGCTCGTAAGCTCTCACGGAACCCTAGCTTTTTCTCTTACTCCCTAGTTGTCTCGTTTCCCATAAGTTTGGTCGAGTGGGTCGTTCGATGCTTCGGACTTGACATTTACGCTGTTTTCGGCGGATCTAAAGATGGGTTGCTTCGTGTTCATCCGCCTGGTTTGGGTTACCCGAGAGGATTTGTGAGGGGTTTGGAGTTAGAATCGATCTTGTTTGCTGGTTGTGTTCATTGCGTGATGCCCTGTTGCTTCCCCCTCTCCTTTAGCTTTTGATTCCGACCGAAACGGGCATCAATTTGAAATTCTGCGAGGCCGGATGAATCTTTCTGTCCCTCCATTTGACTTAATTGCTGTGTTCTACAAACGCGCGGTTGGTTTTTTTTTTTTGTAGTGTAATCGAAATAACATGTTTATTGGACTGAAGATAGAGGGTGTTAATGAACTGGGTTTTTGTCCGAAAAGACGATTTCCAAAGAAGATGCCTAGTTGCTTCTTTCTTTCTTTCTCGCCATTTCTCGCGTTCAGCTGATTACCAAGAAGAAATGGCAAAGCTTGTCTAATGATGGCCTCAACAATGAGTATTATAGCACTTGGAGGAAAACCCTGAAGCGGACAGATATCTTGTTTGAACTAACCGAATGTTGCATTGGAAAATGTTCAAAGCTTTTACGTTCGAAATAACAACGTTATGATGAAAAGTGTCCTTTATTTGGGCAAACATTTGCTCAATTCTGTTCGAAGAATTTAAGGTACATGTCATCTAGCAAAGTTATTGGAGAGAAAAGGTTGCATCTTCACTGTGCTTAGATCGGATCTATTATGCTTTGAAATGAGGATGTTGGAAGCTAAGTGCACATATATGCCGCTAAGGAATTAGGAAGAAGAGAGTGCGTCGATAGATACCCGGTGGCATTCTGATTTAGCTTTTACAATGGATTTGAGATTGCTGCTGCCAACTAGAAGAATTAGGCACCATATCAAATTAGTGAATTTGGCAGGAGTCCTTTGTTATAGAATAAAAAAAACCTCAAATTGATCTTCATAAATTTTTTAAAAGCCAGCTAACAAACCATTGGACGACATGTAGGATGCCAGTGCAACATTTGATGACAACTAGTGTCCACGTCAACAATTTCCATTAATTATCTAGATAGAAGGACTGAATTGAATAAAAAAAGATTAGTTTAGTGACGACATTGAACCAAAAAATAGTTCAGGTATGACAGTGAATAACAAGCAAAAGTTTAGGGATAATTTAGTGGTGTCTTCTTTACACCTAAGGGCCTAACCTGAATGTATGGTAAGAAAACCCTTTTTGTGCAGCTGCCAAATCTACAATTAGTTAGAGTTCAAAAAGGTAGTGAAAAATATTGGCCTGGTGGCACTGTCCAAATTTTATGCAGTTTAGTGTGGCTGTGTAAGTGGAGGTACCTGCAACTATTGGTTGGAACATTACTTTCTCTCATATATTTAAGAAAAGTTAATTGGGATTTCCATGGCCTTTACTTTGTTGTCGAATCTTTATTGCAACTGCTCTGTCCGCTTTAGAAGTTCATAAAAAGCATCTTTTCATTTTTTTGGAAGAAATGATGTGGAGGCTGTACAGCATGTTTGTGAAAAAGCAATTGACGCTAGAGCTAGGGATACAGAATTAGGTAGTGCAACAGTTACCTGATTAAGATGTGATCTGGCTGCATGAGGTTCCTCCCTCTGTTAAGGGTTAGTTTATTTAAGTCGAGTTAGTTGTTTTGGTCAGTTTAATCTTGATATATTTACTTTTATGTCAACAGGAAAAAGAAAAAAAGTTCCTCTTCATGACCCAAAGTGTCATAACTATATATATCTTCTAGTTTTCTGCGATTACATGTAAAGATATCAGTGGTAGCTCTTTCGCATTTCTTAAGTATCCTATGGCCTGCATTCTTTCAGCTATCTTCTCCCTTGTAAGCAAGTTTCCTGTTTCTTTATTTTCTTGCCATTATCCTCTACTTTGTCTTTTGACATCTAATGGCTTGATGTTTCTTCTCTTGCCTTCACTATTCTAGGTTGTATCAGGGCAAGCATTGCAAAACTTTCAGCCCTATGGGCTTCGTGCCCAACCATGCTCGTATTCATCTAAGAAAGGTTTGCCTCCTCCATTTCCTAACAGGACAAATTCAAATTGTGATTTCCCAAATTTAATTACTTGCTAATTGATTTGTTATCTCTTGCATGTAGCTGCAAAAAAATATTGAAAATAGATCTAGGGGAGCTTAGTGAAATAGTATACATATGTGGAATGTGCTCTAGAAATGTGCATATATAATTTTGTCTGATCCTCTTGCCCAAACTATTTTGTTTTAAGAACATGTAATTCCTTGCTTATGTTGTTGAGGAGTTCTTATGTTCGGGCATAATCGTTTGGTTGTGTGTTGCAGATGATGAAGAAAGAGAGCAACTTGCTAAGGAAATCTCCAAGGACTGGAGCTCTGGTAACTTTTCTTTTGGTTGCTGTTTGGTTCTAGGTCACTCTTTCCACAGGGTTAAGACTAATCCCATTATTAACTGTAGTTTTTGAGCGAAGCATCAATACATTATTTCTCACGGAAATGGTTCGAGGCCTGATGCTGACACTCAAATACTTCTTTGAACCGAAAGTGACAGTAAGCACCCTGTGTGGACCCAATTTTTAAGGATGAGATCATATTGGACTCTATATTGATACGTTTTGTATTTTCAGATCAACTATCCATTTGAGAAGGGACCTTTGAGCCCCCGATTTCGAGGTGAACATGCACTTCGAAGATATCCAACCGGAGAAGAACGTTGCATTGCCTGTAAACTTTGTGAAGCTGTAAGTTTGAAGTATCTCTATTGATTAAGAGAGTCTGGAACATTTGCAAAGTTGGCTGTAAGAGTTATTGGTTCTTCCTGCTTGGAAGAATGGGGCTATACTTTATTGCCTCTCTGTGGCAAAAGGAATTAACAAATGGACCTCTAGCCCTTTGCTGTCGATGCTGCTTTTTAGTGTTGTTTGTCTTAGCTAAAAATACCCGCATTTAATGTGTTTATTTACATATGCATTGTCTTATACTATTATGTTAATGCTGTAATGCAGCTAATTGTTGGTAGCCAGTTGGTTTTGTTTCTTATGTTAAGTGGAATTTTGCTGACTGGTGTGGCCCTTTGGCCATCGATAATGATGTCTGTTGATGATTGATTGTGCCACACTAATTGAAAGCTATAATCTAGTACATAATCATTGCATTAATAATCTCGGCTGCCAGAAAAAAGAAATTTGTTTCTTTTACTTCCTGTATGGGAAAATGTAACGAATTATCACTGTCGGCTAACATTTACCGCCCGTGGTTTTGGTGGTTGTCTGATGCAATTGTGTGTTTTGCTTCCAGATATGTCCAGCTCAAGCAATTACCATAGAGGCTGAGGAACGAGAAGATGGAAGCCGCAGAACAACCAGGTGATGGATTGTTCTCCCTTATGCCTTCTCTCTCTCTCTCTCTCTTTCTCTCTCTCTCTCTTTCTCATATCTTTTAACACTGCAGGTATGACATTGACATGACAAAGTGCATCTACTGTGGATTCTGTCAAGAGGCATGCCCTGTTGACGCCATTGTCGAGGGACCTAACTTTGAGTTTGCTACTGAGACTCATGAGGTATAGGAGCAACTGTTACCTGATAAGAATTAGTAGTTGTATTCTATTTCTCTATGATCTCACTCTTTAAGTGTTCTATCTTTCTGCAGGAGCTTCTGTATGATAAGGAGAAGTTGCTCGAGAACGGAGACCGCTGGGAAACGGAAATTGCTGAGAATCTGAGATCTGAGAGTCTCTACCGTTGATGCCGTTTCCTGATTTAGCTTCAACTTATGCCGGTGTTTTTATGTGAAAATAAGGAGATCTATGTATAGGTCTTGAGGGAATCTATTTTTGGGCTATTTTACATTGCGAACGATCAAGAATTTTCCTGTATTACTCTTCTTCCTGCAGGCTGCTGCATCATGAGATGTTTGATAATTTGACCTTAATGTAAGGAAACATTTGGTCTCTGTACATTGGCTCTCAAGGCAAAAAGAAAATGTCGGTTTTAGAACTGATATCGAACGGCGCATTGAGATGTTTGTTAATACATGTTGGTTTTGACTTTGATTGCGGTAACTGAAAACAGAGGTAGACGTGAAAAATGCTTCAGCTTGGGTGTGGCATTTGGTTTTAGAATATGTGCGCGTGTGAGCGCATGCGCGTGCGCTGTTTGCATTAACAAGTTCACAGACAACCAAATATATTTTTCATGGTATTAGTAGTGAGCGGTTTTAGACTTCATTTGGAACCTTCATTTGGAATTTACCCTTTGAAATAGATGGTTCTTTATTTTTTGAAACCTGTAACCTATCTTGCATACTCCAAAAACATGGAATCAACAGGTTTTCACCGATTTCGCCGATCCGGATCCAGTTCTTAGGGTTCTTGGTTCCATGTTTTACTCTCGAAACCATGCAACCGCAGAACTGATGTACGTGCATTTCGTTGTTAATCCTCACACAATCTCTTCTAGGAACTTGCCTGGATGGGGCCATACAAGAAGAATCAAGATTCAATGAGGAGTTCGGAGGCCACCCGTGCAAGGTTGTCTGAACGTTTATCCTGTGTCATTCGTGGCCCACAGATACTTCATCGCTCACTGCTGCGCAGTGCAGCTCGGTCCCACCTCCCAACTCTCAGTCGTTCATCACTCACTCGGTGCCGTCGCGCGATACCACTCCCAATCGATCGGAGCAAAAGAAGCAGCCGCCAGCGTCCGTGATCATGGCCTCCCTCGCCCGGAATTACCGTCGCTGTCTGATTCAGTGCTTTCCCCGGCCACCCCATTCGGGTTCCGCCGCCGATTTCGGCCGCCGCCTCGTCCCCCCGTTGTACCCGAGCCGCGGAGTCCGGCGGCGGCTCGGCACCTCCGGAGGCGGCGGCTCGGCTCGGCCCGAGCTAGACGGGCGCAGCGCGTACGAGCTGCTGGGAGTGGCGGAGACCAGCTCGTTCGCCGAGATCAAGGCGTCGTTCCGCAGGTTGGCCAAGGAAACTCACCCCGACCTCGCTGGGTCGTCGAACGACGCCGAAACTTGTCGACGATTCGTTCAGATTCTTGCAGCTTACGAGGTATATTTGTTGATCGTCCGTTGGAACGAACATTTTGATTTTCGAGTGTTCCTGTTGGTTGTTTGGATATTTCATGGCATAATCGAAATTAGGCGGATCTTGCATTTCTTGAATTGTGGCAGAGAACGGTAGTTCTCCGGTTAGGTTTCACTATCTCTCTCTGTCAATTAGAAATTTGGAGCTAAAACTTCAAATCTCGAGCAATTCAGAAAAGTTGGGAATACTTTGTATTGACGTTTCATCTAGAGGATATTAGCTGGAATAATTATTGGTGGGCTTCAATGTGAATCCCATTTCGGTTTTCGTATCTGGTAATTGCGTACTAGGTCCATATGAACTCTAAACGTGTGGGAGATGTTAGCAATCGGTGCGCTCGCTGCATCGCAGGGCATAGTGCAAGTCCTGAAATGAAATTTTACGATGCAATATAAACTTCATGGAACGCTAAAAGAAGAAAAAAGATCCTTTTTGTGCTGAAATTTCTGTGCATACGACAATGCCTTCTGGGCTTGTATGTTTTGTTTGTCATGTCTTTGCTATCATCAAGCGTATTTCTGATCTAGAAATATCGTGACTGGAGATTTTCCGTGGTTGTTGCCCTGCCGATGATGACTGTTGTTTATTTCTGCAATTGATGTAGAGGCTTGCCTGACTTTAAAGCATAATCGACCGTGAGTTGCAGATTCTCTCTGATGCTGGAAAGAGGGCCCATTACGATAGTTATCTTTTGACTCAGAAAAAGCTAGTACAGAAACTTTCGAAAGAGTATTCAGTTTCTTATATGTACAGATCGCATGCAACAGTATATAAGGAGATGGAAGTTGTTGAATGGTTGAAGTGGTATAGATATGCTATCAATGATATATTGTCAGAGAACAAAGTGGTCACAGGAACAGGCTATTTTGATATACTTGAAGGGGACTTCTATTCAGCAATACGTGCCGCATATTATGGTCCTTGGATTGATTCACTGGATCTTCTTCCCGACTGCTTTGAAGCCGAGGAGCGGTCTTTGCTTGAAACTCCGGAGGTATTGCACTTGGTTTCGGGCCGATATCTCTTTGGTATGGTCTGTCTGGTCAACAAGATTCCCGAATTATCATCTGCCTTCCATGAGAAGTTAAATTCTTATCAATCTGTGGGTCTTGGTGAGTGTTATATGAGAAATAATACAGACACTTCCATCAATTATGGAATGCAAGCAAATGCTGATATTTCTCAGACAGAGACCAGTTGTACAAATTATGCATCTGATGCATATAAAGACCTGGAGTTACATATATCTGGAAGAGTAGTGGCCAAAGCAACAAGATTACCTCCTCAAAGCTGTTGCAACGGAATCAGGAACGATGATGCTGATGATCGCATATATGTCTTTCTCAATTCACATAAGGACTGCATGGATAATAGCCAAGAGTATCTTTCCTCTATAAGCTGCGGAGTTGGGTCAACTCCACTGGGAACAATAGTAGGACTGGGGACCAGCCCAGAAGAAGGAACATGCTTCGTTTATGATAGCAGTGGCACGAAAACCCATGTGATAATGAAACACAGAACATTTCTGGTCTGTTTGCATCATCGGTTTGATTACCACCTAAAATTTAAACGTGTCCTTCATTGTAAAATTCTGTCCTTTTTTTCACCCTACTTTGGTTGATAAGATATATTCAGACTAATTTTTTGTCCTTGATGATCGAGCTCGTACTTGCAACTTCTTTTTTGTGCAAATTTTTTAAAGTTATCACATGCATGCAACAAATTTTTCATCGTCAAGGAGGCTGGTAGTGCTGTTGTAAATGCTCTAGACTACTAGTTCTTTTGTGTCCTTTTTGACTTCCTCAAGTGACTAACTTGGAGAATTTTGATTGCATGTTCTTTCATGTCTTTATGACCAGTAATTTGAGATGAATGTGTATGGTCTTATTACATACTTAGACCTATTCACTTAGTTGGGGAGAGAGAGACAGAGAGAGATGCATATGGTTTTAAGTCTTTACATTTTTTAGATGCTCAGAGAACATGATTGATTCAGCATGCCTTGCGTGATAATTTAACACAAGTGTGGCTGGTTCTTGTCAGAAAATATGCATAGCATTTAAGATTTTGTCCTTGTAATGAATACTACGATGGATTGACCTTGGACTTTTTGCAACAATAAAATTTCTGCCTTTCACATCTCTGTTAAATTCTGGATGGTATGATCTATATTGAAGTCCCAGTCACTGGCTTTCCCACCATGCGGTAGCTCTTTCTACTGCAAACTTTACTTTGAGTGAATAGTTGTATTTTAGCTCGTTGACCAATCCATTGTCAATGTCTGTACTGTGGTTACGTAGACTTTTGCTAGAAAATCTGTACAAACTATAATCTGCACTTATTAAGTAGGTCTGTGGACTTAACTTATGCTTTCACTGATTTGTACACTTTAACAAAATTCAGTCACTATGTCTTATTTATATCTTTCTCAGGTGAAGCATATGCACTGGTATCAATGCGGAGATAAGATTTCCGTTTGTGAGTGCAGAAGTACTAGGGCCCGGCTACCCCCTAGCAAGTAAGATTTGTTGCTCATAATTAGTTTCTCAAAATCCCATGTTGAACTCTACCTATATTTTCCGTCCAAAAAAAAACTCTACCTATATTTATATAGGACGGTGTTTGTAGTCATTTGCAGTTAGTGCATAATCCTTGGATGAGTCCATCCTCTTCCTTGTTGATCATTAGCAATCTTATGATTTTGTAGGCTAAGTAATGCATGTGCATTTGAGTATGTTGCAATCTTTATGTATCCCATTCTTGCGTTTGCTCTAGAAATTCATTAAAACATCCTTTTAGGAATTTTTTTTTAAGCTTGAAACTGATCCTAGTGTGCGTGGGACACTAGGACCATCTATTTTTCCTTTCCCAATTTAAGCTTGCATGTCTTGAAGGTGCTTTTGTTGAAGATGTACACAAAATTTGACCTGTATGATTAGTCCAAACATTAACATTGGCCTAGGTGGATTTGTTCTTGAGTCATTACAAAACTAGGGATGAAGAATGCATGTGGATTTCGTTGAAGATGTACACAAGATATCCTGTATTATTATTCAAGCCTCTTGTCGAGAGAGAAAGCTTTTCTCTTCTCTTCCGTGAATACGTCTTACTCTTCCGATGCTTAGTCAGATTGACATCGATATCTCTGCCATGTCATTCTCAGACCTCCACTTAGACACTTGAAATTAAAGACTAGAGTGTCATGTATAAGAGAGGAGGAAACACTTTGTCTAGAATTATGGTAGATGATCTCATTAATGTGGAGTAGGTTGGGAACAGCAGTGGCAATGAAACAGAATAAATGTTTTATCTGGGGATTTTCATGAGGAAGAACTAAGAAGGAAATTTTGTGAAAAAGTTTATTCATTTATTATTTGGCGTAGGGTATTAGTTAGCAAATGCTTCGACTAGAGTGGTATTGGTCGAAATGGTCTGGTCTCTCTCTCTCTACATACATGATATATTAAAGTTGAAAAGGGACCAGGGAACATATTTTTCACTGACTAATTGGTTGAGCTCTGAACCGGAATCACAAAAGCAACTTCTCAAAAATAATGCAGATTGATCAGGCATTTCTACCTTTTTCGGTTGATTCAGTATGACTTTATTTATTCTACACTATTCTACTCCTAATATCCCTGTTCTTTCTCAGGTTTTGGCTGTTTCAGCCAAGGTGTGCGATGCATGATATTGGGGGCTGGTATGTTGAAACATTTGGAAGAGATGAGAAAAGAAAAACAGTTCCATCCCAGAGGTACTGGGATGGTTCTGATGTGGAGGGACAATTTGACAAGTAAGTGCATGGCATGGATCCTGGAATCGTAAACCTACGTTTATTTTCTTTTCTTTCTCAATGGTTGAAAAGCCATATCAGGGTTAACATTAGATACTGGTTTAAATACTTTTCTTTGTTAGTTTTCCCCCATTCCAGTGTAAATTATTGAACACCAAGAAAGGCCACAGATTGTTCTTTCCATTTCAACCATTGTTGATTTTGCTAACTTGCTTGCCGGCTTTAACTCCTCTAAGTAATAGATGTAAAGAGGCAGTGGTACTTGAAAGCTGGATATAAATGAAAGCTCGCTTCTGGTGAATTTGGAATTACTTTGAAAGTAATAAGCTGAATTCTCCTGTAAGGGTCTAGTAGCACAGAGTAAATCACCTATGCTATCCTATAAAGATTAGAAGCTGTACAATTAATGTTATCCCATGAAAGATCAATTACCCTTGTGTATGAAATGATAAAGTAGTGAGAAAAATTGAATACTTAACATCATTTTATGGCTGCTACCGAAAGATAGGGTTGACATGCGGGTCTTCATCTTGCATCTTTTCTGAACTTTTGGTTCGTCAGGAAATAAGAACTGTTCCCCCATTGTTGCCTCACAAGGAATAGGAAAATTTTCCCCCATTGCAATCAACTGGTCATGTATGTTCTCTTTTGAGATTAAAATATCAAACTCCAAAGGTAAATTGGATTTAATTTAGAGTTGTCTCAATGAGTTACCATCATTGAGGCTGGGATTTTGTATGTCTACAAGGGACTGGGAGCCAAATGAAGAGCCAAATAGGGATTGTCACTTGATCTTTGAACGAATTCCAATTCTAAAGTGACCGACTTTAGGTGGGACAACTGAATTATATTTTTAAGGAGGCGCTAAAGATGTGTCCATTTGGAGTTCAATTGCCGTCTCTTTCTCTTGGAGAGTTCAAATTTGGCCTTTTGTTTTTCTTGGGCTAGAGATGGTTTGTGAGGATTCATGTTTGTCCACAAACTTTCATGCTCTGTCATGCGCAAGTGTTCTTGAAGAGAGTTGTGCTATTCTCTGGTTACTGCAAATCAATGCTTTTACACTATCCACCTGATCTCTACAGTTAGATGCTAAAAGTTGATAGACTCCGTGTACCACAAAGTAACTGAAATAGGCTTGGCCCTGCATTTACTTGAAAGGTAGTCTTTGGTAAAGCAGGCGGAATGGGGCTAGACATCAAGCACTATTCATCCGCAAGCTTTTGCCTATACTGAACTCTTTATCGCCCATATATTTAGGATAGCCAAATGAGAAGAAGGGTAAGATCATATGCTTGGCTTTTCAAGTGCAGGCAAAGAAAAGAATTATTGGATAACTGTATTATACTCATTCTCTGTGCAGGAGACTCCACCCCGCGGTGTATCTGCTTGCTCTTGCTTATAGAACATTAGATATTGAAGATGTTAAGAGAAGGAAACAAACAGTCAGAGGTGTTGTGGAAGGACAACTCTTTAGACTTCTCAGTTGGTGCAAGAAGCTTGTCTAAAAGTTCACTTTTGGGTCCTAAACCTCTCCTTGGATCAACATAAGCTACAAAGAGCAAGCTTGCAATATTTTGGCCTAAAGAAGACACAGAACTGCTGGCTTGCTTTAGAAAGCTGACTGTTGGGATGTCAATCAATCTGATCCCAGTAGGGCAGCCTCTTGTGATCTGAAAATGATGGTTGATCACTGCATGTCCATTTTGATGGAATAGATGTCAAAGGAGATTTGTATGATCGATGGATATCTGTAGGACATCTAAAGTGTCTTATGCCTGATACCATGCTAAAGCAAAGTCAGACGATTTTCGAAGTTCAAAGTTCCGGATTACACTTCTGCGTGTGCACTAAGGCATGTGCAAGACAACCTGCAGAAACCTACAGAGCCTGTGGAACCTGCATGTTCAGGTAGACCTGTATGCCTCAGTTGCTCCGCCGAGCTTACCGTTTGGATCTTTGTCTTATGCATGGTACCATGCTAAAGCAAAGTCATGCGATTTTCGAAGTTCAAAGCTCTGGATTACATTTCTGCATGTGCACTAAGGAATGTGAGAGACAACCTGCAAAACCTACAGAGCCCGCAGAACCTGCATGTTCAGGTAGACCTGTATGCCTCAGTTGCTCCACCGAGCTTACTGTTTGGATCTTTGGGATACCGGGTAACTCTTATATTGGCCTTATGAGAGAACCTCGTCATATCTTAAAAGTGCTGGTATATCACACTTCATACAAATCAAATGGCGCATAGAAGGAGGTCCGTTTCTGTGGTTCGTTGACCCGATGGAATCACAAACATCTGTGGTATGTTATTTATGCTTCTTGCAACTGACAAGCAAATTTATGTGACTGCTTCACACTTTATCTGAAGTTTGGATCAAGCATCATTACTCTGCGAATTGGAATATCATGGACTAAGAGGTAAACGTGTGCACTGAGATATGGATGTGGCTGTTGTCTGATGTTGGTTGGTCAAGGAGGAGACTCACTAATGAAGGTCTTAGTTGAACTTTGCCGATCTTTGAAGCCAGAAGTTCGATGAGCTCTACTAGTTCACAAAATTTATTTTACTGGGCACCTTGGCTCATAAGGTAACACCACTTTGCCCGGTCTTTTGTGTCCTTTTTTATTTCAGATATAGCTTATGGAAAACTCTATCTAACTTGGACAAGGCTTTAATGGTGGAAGGATCATGGCGGCATTCTTACCATCCTCTATCTTGTGCAACAAGGTAAACCATTGTATAATTTTGGTGTCTCTTTCATTGTTTTTTGGGGGTTTCGTTTGTAAACAAGGAAAGTCTGAAAGCATTAATGTTGAAGTTTCTATTTTGTGCCACATTTCAGAAGGTTGTTGATAATGTACTCTTTTTAGGAGCTCCATGAATCAGCAACCAGCTCTTGCGCATTGTAAAGATTGCAATCCTGAGAGTTCCATTGTCCCATTAGAAATCTTTCTACTCTTAAATGACCCGTGACTTAACACTTACTATACTAATTTGAGGATGCACATATTCTGTAATTGCTAAAAAAGGACTCAAAAATGAAATTTGACTAAACTGAAGTTAGTAATGATGTTAATTGTATGAAGGGAATAAGAAATATTTATTTACGAAATTGACTTTATTAATGGTCAGTACTTTCATCAGGTATCTATTTATTGACAATTTATTCACTAAAATAACTTGATAAACCTATATCATTCTCTATTGTCTCTCTTAGCATTGTTAAATGGAAATTCTCATCAATTAATATCATTTTATCTCTTCGGCATTGTCATTGTTCGAAAGCGGACGAAAGATATATGCCCACCTCTTTTCAAATTGACATTTGCTAAGTTTATGGGGTAAACTGACGTTATATCTTTAAGAGAGGCCAACTGATCATAATCAAATGGATACTATGGCATTCAAATAGAGAAATTGCTGCTGATTATCGCTCAAATTAAAACTCACACTAATGTAAAGTTTATAAATATTCGGATTAGGTCCGAATTAATTCCTTGGCTGATCTTGCTTGTTCCTTTTGGTTTTCTTACTTGTTTATAACTCTGCAATTAAGTCCTCTGTCTGATTTAAACTTTGATTTCTTTGAACTTAAATAATCTGTTCTGGGTTTTATATTTTCTTCTAATTTGTAAAATTGCGAAGTCAGCATATTAATGGTATTTGTGCAAGAAGTGCTTGATTGCCATATCTCATCAATTAGAGGAATAAGGAGTAAATCTAAAGTAACTCTGAACATGTCACTAAGGAAGAGAGCAAGGTGATGTAACAAACTCCAGGATGGATAAACTTAGATATCATTTCAGCCCTTGAATAGAGATGATCCAAATCCTTTCCTTATCATTCTTGTAAGGGCTAGACAAGATCTTAGCCAGAAAGTCATTATTGTAAAGATTCATTAACCAAAATCTGTCATGTGCAGTCTTATCAACTGTTGGTGCCAAGTTTTTCTCTTGCATAAAGAAGATCGAGCAAGTCGAAAGTAAATGCCTAACTTTTTTTGCTCTGGAAGGGCAAATCAGAAGGTGGGAGAGGGGCTAAAGTCACTTCAGATAATGTATGTTTACCAAAATATGAGGGTGGTTTGGGATTGAGGAGAATTTAATCCATGGAATCTGTTGAAGTATATACAGTGGTGTTTGTCAGTAATTAATAGGTGAGTCTTAATCAAAATAAATAAGATTTTTGAGCATTGCTCATGCTCTATAAATAGAGCCATTTTATGTACTCATTCATTAAGTCATTCAGTAGAGACGTAGGGTAAACTTGTCCAAAAAAAATTCTGAACCTATCGTACAGCAGCCAATTTAATTTTCAATCTTTCAATTGTTCCAATTTAATCCTAAATTTTTTGAAATTTGCTAATTTAGTCTTAAAATTTTCAATTGCGCCAATTTAGTTCTAAATTTGTTGATAATTTGTCAATTTTAGTCATTCCAGCTAATATTGGCCGGAAATCGCTGACGCGGACAATTTTTGCAATTATTCAATTATTTTGAATTTTTTCTTCTTTTTTTTTCCTTTTATTTCTGTTTCTTTTATTTTCTTTTTTCCCTTTTTCCCTCCAACGGCCATCGTCGAGCCTCGGTGACGGCCAGCCACCGGTGATTGGGACCCTCGCCCAGCTTGCCGCCACGAAGCCCCTAGACCCATGCATAAACGCTATGCTCCTCCTCCCTTATTCTTTCTCTATCTTGCACGCATGCCACCGCTCTTGGACGCCATGGGCGGTCGCCCATGGCTTCACGCTTCTGGGTTGAAGTTGAGAACTGACTCACGGTGGAAATCCCAGGACCTTTGAGAACCTCTGCTCACGCAGTACGAGATGTCGTCGACTACAGTGTGTTACGTGGCTTAGCCGATGATGACTTCGTCACGCACCTCCGTCCCCTCTATGATGACGGTGACAATCGGCTCTCGGTGTTTGCGTTTAGCTCATCGTTCGGATGAGCGGGAAGGACCTGACGCACTCGGGGACATGGGGCGGCAAGACGAGGTTCGTAGCTGAGGCATGGATGAATTCGACGCTAGCGTCGTTGCAAGTAATGAAGACTATGGCCAGAGGAAATGTGCAAAGGTGATTGGCGAGGGGAGGAGAGGGAAGAGGGAGAGACTCAATCGAGCCAAATCGAATCGCCAAAACTTCAATAATGTGTTTTGGGTCGGTCCGGAAATATGATCTCAAATCAAACCGAATCGTCAGAAGTTTGTTGTTCTACCTATTACACAAACCAAAGGGAAACCCGACCCGTACAAACTCGAAATTTTTTTGTTTTGGTTAAGTCAGTTTAGTTCGGGTTTTGGTTAGGGTAATTCTTTTTGACAGCCCTATCATTCCGTGTTCAAAATGTCACTCATTTATAATTTACGTCGGTTGTAGACAATTTACGGACTTAATAGGTGATACATAACCTGTAAGATAAGTTTTACATTTATAGATGTTTACGAATCTAATGGTAATTTATGATTTTGAAACTTATTTTATGAATACTAAATATAACTAACGAACATTATTATGCATTACGTTGCAAGAAAATGTCACTACGGTTAGATTTTGTAAGTAATATTTAAGAATAAGTATAATGACGGTCATCAACAATTAGTGCTTACTCAATTCACTGATTACAAGGTAAACTACTATTTCGTATTACAATCTATAGGGTAAATTACCTTATCTTAAGGATTACAATAGGAAAGGGAAATTATTATTTTATTATTTTCAAGGTGAATTATTTCCTATAATGTATAAATTACTTCTTCATCACTTATATTACTACTTTGAAGATAAACTAAATTATTGATTTTAAGAAGTAATTTACTACCTCACAGGGTAATATTTACTGTAGAACAGATATCACCACACGATCACCACACAAGTCGCGGTAATCTTGATTGAACTTATAATTAATACTTTCCTTTTTCTATAGAAAAAGGTTGGCTTTTTCCACTCCCTCTATTCCTAATCCTTTAGTAGTATTTTGACCATTTTATCCTTTATGGGTCTCCCATTTTTTCATCTCAAGATTACTTCTCCTTGGTCAAATGTGGTGCCCTCTTTCCTTGAGGGTCCCACTCATTAATATTTACGCACAACATTAAAAAAAAAAAGACTTGCGCTTTTTCTACGTCTTCCTTAGCTAATACGTTCTCTCTTTTAGTGTTTTGACCATATTATCCTTCTTGGGTCTCACTTTTTCAGCATCCTTTATTACTATTATACCGAAAGTGTTTCATTTTACTTTCTCTCGAATATGAGGTACGTTTGATTTCTTTCTGTTTCTTTTATTGTGGGTCCCACCTTCCATCTTATCTCTCTCAATAGACGATGTTGGTGGTCATATTGGTGGTTGGAATGGAGACTCACTACGCTTCTCATTGTGGCCTCTTGGTCGGACCCTAAGGGAGCGGCGGTGGCGACAGGGGTAGAAGGCACGGGATCGAAGTGGTGTTTTCGGAAGGAGGAGACGACATCGGGGTGAGGATGTCGGAGTTATTGGATGAGGTGGTGGTAGTGGTGGTGCACTTTGGTGGGGCTCTCAGTATCCCAAGAGTAGGTCTCGGTGAACTGGGGTGGATGAAGCTTGGACGAGAAAAGATCCACGGGTGAATGCTCGCCATGTGGTCGGACGACGCCATTGATTGATTCCCTCTAATTGCTCTCTCTCTCTCTCTCTCTCTCTCTCTATATATATATATATATCAGTCCAAGTACCAAAAGAGTTTATCGATGTGGTTTGTGTGCAAAGCTTAGAATGATAGTTTGTGGGTGAGAGAGAGTGAAGTAGGGAGAGATGAAAGAGAAGAAATGGTATGCTGAGGGTGAGATTGTGGGAGAGAGAGTCAAGAGCGGTTAGCTAAAGCACGATGAAAAACGAAGAGGAAAAAGAAATAGAGAGAGAGAGAGAGAGAGAGAGAGAGAGAGGAGGAAGAGGAGGAGGACTACGATGTTCCTATGGTTCATGATCATAATTCGGTTAACGATGACTGTGTTGGGAGTCATGTTGTCCGTCATAATTCAGTAACTGATGAAGAAAACAAAGAAAATGAAAAAGATTAAACTCAGCAACGAAATGTCTCCAATTGCTTTAGATGAGAGCAAGAAAAACGAAATTTCGACTTTGAAGCTTCTTCTTGTTCTCCCATTTCTTTCCATCTTTTTGGTTAATTGGAAAATGTAAATATTTTTTGGAGCAGAATTGAGATGAGAGGGGTTATCTTCATTTCCGGATACTTGATGAATTACCACCAAGACTCGAACCACGATTAGATTCAACTAGATGGCCAGAATTACCTTCGAGAGAGAGAACAGAGAATTAAGAAGGAGAAAGGTGGGACCCACAAGAAAAAAGAAAAAAAAAAGGAAAAATAACAGAGGATACTGAAAAAGTGGGACTCACTGAGGATAATATGGTCAAAACATTATTATAGAGAGTGTATTAGCTAAAGAATGAGTAGAAAAAGCACGATCCAAAAAAAATTGCCACTTTCTCTCTTCTTCAATTTTCTGGCCCTCGCTTGTATTACTTTCTCTTTCTCTCTTGTATTGATTTTGCCTTCTAGGTTTTGAGGAAAAGCCTCCAGAAAGCTTCTCCTACAGTCAAATTTCAAAACATACTCAGCTTGAGTCTCTGTTATGTTTTATCTCCTCTTTGATCGTTTTACGTTCTTATTTACATGTAATTGACATGAGCAAGCACGCGCTTGACACGTGAGCATGAGCAGTCCCATAAGTAACACATGAGCATTATCACACACGTGACATTTTATCAACGACCGTAGAGATTGGCATTTGCTGGTCGACATCAATACACATCGGTGGCGCGTATTCAGTTGTCGATACATGACGACGAACTTCTGGCAACCATACATATGAATACCGACAATGGGTAAATAGAAGAGTGCGCGAGAAGCATATGGATATAATTACCGTTTTGAGATAAAGTAGTTGGGACAATGGAGTGACTGGCAGATGTTCACCTACGAAGCATGGAAGCGCGACCACAAAGTTCAAAATCAGCAAAGTAGTTGAGATTGAGGAGAAATAGGCATACGTTTTTTTAGGGAACAATTACCACTTAGGAATGAGATCGTGGGACAGTCATTACTTGAAAAGTAAGATCACGGGCAACAATCGTCCAAAAGTAAAGTCATGAAGCAATCGACACACGGTTCGGTAAAAGCAACCGCTTGGAAGCAAAATCATGGCATCACGAGAGCGTGGGCACGTAATTTCGAAGATGAATGAACATGGAAGTAATTGGTGAAAACCGTTTAGGGAAATGTAATTGCTGGAAACCGCTAAAAAGCAATTATCGCTAAATCATTGTAAATACCACCAGTCATCTACTAAACGCGGATCCTGAATAAATCAAACAAATTTACTATCTTTTCAGTATTTTTGCTTTCTTGCACTGCATTTTATTTTTATAGCTGTAGCTTTCAATTAGTGTCGTCGATTAAATTCTGGTTTGTAATCTCTATCCCGGGTGCTGTGTCGTTAATTAAATTACGGCATAGTATCTTTATGTTTTCAAGCTGAGTTGTTGATTAAATTCCAGCATAGTTTGTTTATATCCGGTTACTTCATCGAGTCTGCATCTTCCAAGCCTTGTCGTAAATTAAATTCTGGTATGGTTTGTGTTTGTATAGTTTTGTTCTAATTAAAGCTATTAATTTTATTTTGCCTGTAATATTTTCCGTCCGATGTTGGTGTAGAACACTTGTTCCCGTTAATAAAAACCGAAAAACGATTTTTGGTGAAAGATATTTTATCGCAGGGCAATTCCGACACTGCAATTGGCGTCTCTTTCTGAAGGGGACTTAGCGATTTTCAACCCTCAAAAATTTTTCCACCGACTTCTTGTATGCTCTGAGTCAATGGATTCGCTACGACGATGAAAGAAGGAGAGGGAATGACCGGTTTCCGACGCTCACAACTAGAGGTTGGGGACCAAGTGCGGATGTCGATGATGGCGACGGATCACGATCCGAACGGAACCAGTGCCAGAGCCGAGCTCAAGGATACTGAGCTGCCGATGGCGAGGGCAGTGGCGGTCGGCGAGGATCGGGGAGAGGGGGCTCGCTGCGGGCCCCGAAGGTGGAAGCCGAGGAGGTGGAGGAGAGTGGTAGCAGCAGAAGGCCAGAGCTGGAAGGAGAGTTCCTGGAAAAAAAGAAGGTGGCGCATGGCGATGGTGGCGTTGATGCTCGCTCCAGTTGGTTCAATGCGGCGGAATTGTCTTCCTCTTCGTTGTCGTGGTTGTTGACCATGGCCATTACTGTTGCCTTAGAGAATCATGTACTAAGTAGAGCACAAAGGCAATAAAAGGAGTGGGACTCGCAGAGAAAGAAAAGGAAGGGACCAAATGAAATGAAAGGAGGGAGGGACACCACATTTGATCAAAAGAGAGATATAATTTGTGATGCCAAAAACGTGAGACTCACAAATGACAAAATGGTCAAAATACTAGGAAGGGAGTCGATTAGTGATACATGAAGTGGAAAAAAACGCGACAAAAAAAAATATTATTTTAAGTTTATTACTCTAAAAAAATCTATTACTCCAGAAAGATAATTTTTATATTATGAATATTAAAAATTTTATTCGCTTTTATCTCATTTTCTTTATTGGATAATTTTATCCAAGCTGTACCTCTCTTATATTCGATTTTATCTTGTCTTGGGTATAATAAACCAAATGCAAAATTTTATCCTGACTACTACCAAACGTAGTTAAAATTTAAACCGGTACCTTCGTGCTATATTTACTTCAAATTAATTTTTGGTAATCTTAAGAATGCTTATCCTTTTTTTTTTTTTTTAAGAATACTTACCATTTACCTAAGATTTGATTCCCGACATCTGATTCGGTTTCCCCACAAATTCAGCGTGAACGATCCCCCGCCGCGTCGTACTGTTAAATTGCCCTCTCTCTCTCTCTCTCTTTCTCTCCCATTGACTCTGAACTAAGCAAGAACAAAAACGAAAGACGAAGAAGACGAAGAAGACGAGGAATCTGCATTTTGATCGAAAGCTTTCCATCGTCGCCCGCAGCAAAAAGCACCGTCTCTGCTCACCATCGAAGGCTTCCTTCCGACCGCGAAGGCAGGAGGCGATCGATCGCTCGCTCGCTCGCTCGCCGGCGAGATGAGAGGCAAAGCAGCGATGAGGCAGAGCTGGAGCTCCAAGTCGAAGCTAGGGTTGCCCGCGGTCGTCCTCGCTTGCTCCTTCTTCTTCCTCGCCGGATTCTACGGCTCCTCTCTTCTCCCTCAGGTTTGCCGCGATTGTCCTGCGCGCGCGGCTGGATTTGCTTTTTCGCGTGTGTGCGTGTGTTGTTTTTTTTTTTTTCCGGTGGGTTGAAGTGAGGTGAGTTCGGTTTTGATCTTTGTAGGATGCGTCCGGAGTAGGAGCGAGGGCGAGAGCTCTCGGATCGGTCAGGGACGAGAGAGACTACGCGCCGTTGCCGCGTGGAGAGACCGGGGATGATTCCTTCGTTTCGATTCCTTTCCAGGTTCCCATGACTGTTGTGATTCGTTGGTAGTTGAACTTGCGATCGTCTCTTGGACGTTTCGAATTTTTTTTTTTTTTTGTGTGGTATTGGTCGGATTCGTGTTGAATTGTGTGGATTAACGGTCGTAGAATTTTGTGTGGGTGTGCTTCTTGGGCGGGCACCTGAACAAAAAGAATTCTTTTCCCCATTTATCAGAGAAAAAGTAGCGTTGATCGAGTTACTATCGAAAATGATTTTGCTTATTTTCTCTGTTTTTCAGGGTTTTTCCTTCTGTGCTGAGAAAGATCGGCTTTTGTGTTCTCTGTTTTTGTGATGAGAACATGGTCTCATATGATTTCCCGTCTTGTTTCTTGAGTAGGTGTTGAGCTGGGGACCTCGTGCTCTCTTCTTCCCTAATTTTGCGACGGCAGAACAATGCCAACTCGTAATAAAATTGGCAAAGGCGGGTCTCACACCTTCAACCTTGGCGTTGAGAAAGGGAGAAACAGCAGAGAACACGAAGGGCATTAGAACAAGGTATTTTCTGTTTATTTTGTCTAAACTAGTCGATGCTGTGTAAGGATTTAAGTGCATACATCTAAATTATGTCAGCTGGCTTAATTTGCATTGTTATATGCCTTGCATAATGAACTGAAAGGCCTTCCTTTTTCTGTGCTTTCAATTGCTGTCATTATATTCTACAACAATCACATAAGTGGAGCTTTTAAAGAGATACATGGATTAATTACCTATGAATTGGTTTGAGAAAATGTGGAAGCCAAATCCATAACCAGAAATGCAATTACTACAACTTGATATGTTATGGAGAATGGATAAGTAAGACTTTTTCTATACATCTGAAGTTCCTTTTCTTAATTTTCTTTTATACCGAAGCATGTGTGACGATGCGCATACATTGCATAAGTATAAGTAAGAGGCGGCTTTATTGTAATGTTTGGTTAACTATTTCTTTACACGCAGTTCTGGCATGTTCATAAGTGCTTCTGAAGACAAAACTGGAACCTTGGATATTATTGAAGAGAAAATTGCAAGGGTGACAATGCTTCCAAGGGAACATGGAGAGGTACTATCCTACCCAGGAAGTCATTTTTATCAGTAGCAGTTTTTGGGTGACAATTGCATAAGTTTGTGATGTATCAACATGAGTCCTACCTAGCATCTCTTCTCACAACATGTCGGCTTTTACTATTTGCCAGTACTCTCTTCACTCACATCAGAGTGCATACCTTGAGATTTTATATTTGAAAGATCCAAATGAACAAAGTACTCTTCCACCTTGAACGCTTTTGCACAAACCCGATTTACTAGTTTGTTTCACCTGTCTTGAGTGGCGGTTGTTAGGGGTGCAATCGAGGTGAGTCGAGTCGATAAAGTGTCAAGCTCGAGCTCAACTCAACTCGCATGCTTGGGGTCTCCAAACTTGGTTCGAGCTTGATGGAGTATCAAACTGTAGGAATGAGCTCGAGTTCAAGCTCAAGTTTAGTAAGCTCAAGCAGTTTCCCTGCATATGTGTATGAGAGTTAAATATGTAATTTTAACGATTTCTGTGTCTTTTTGTAATTAGAAGATATTATTGAAAAAATAATAGAAGCTCGATTAGGGTAGATTAGACTCATGAGCTTGTCAAGCTGAGTATTGGCGAGCTCGAATTCAACTCGACAAGATACTCAATAGCTCCGGCTTGAGCTCCCTTGAAATGAGGTGAACCGATCTCGAGTGATTATCGAGCAAGCCTGAGTTACTCATAAGTAGCTTGACCCAGTTTCACACCTAGCTATTGTCTTTGTAGCCAACTAGAAGTGAGGATTCAGGGTAAAAGTATCTCGCCTCATGATCATGGATAGAAGGCATGATAATTTGCATTTCAACTTTTGAGTTAGATAATGGTATAAAGAATGTGGACAAGAACAACTTAAGATATGGAAAACCAACTTCGTTCTCCACCTCCAAATATATTTACATTCCTCTACCTGTTATGTCAACAGAATATATAGTATGGTACTTTCTGGTCAACATGTTAGGGTGGTTAAGCTGTGTATACAATCTAACCTGCTCTTTTGGCTGGAAGGTTTTTATTGTCACTAATTATTGACAGAGAAACTATATCACACACTGATAGTTTCTGTGTACAAACTTATTTCCTCTTTTGACATCAAATTGTGATTGTGAGGTATTTCACTAATCATTTATAGAGGGGGAAAAGCGCATGTTGTTAGTTTATGCCCTATGTTTGAAGCTCTTCGTCATTCTCAAATAGTCCCTGCATGTGATATATCCTTTCTTTTTGGTTAAATTTCTTAACCTTTCGTTTTCAGGGAAGATCTAAAATTGTTTGAGGATATCACCATGTTTCAGGCATTCAATGTGTTACGCTACGAGATTGGGCAGAAATATAATTCTCACTACGATGCATTCAGTCCTACTGAATACGGCCCACAAAAGAGCCAGAGGGTATGCTTGCTACAAAAATTTGTCGCCTCTATTTTTTTGAATATTTACTAATTTGGTGAGGCATGGATGATAATGTCCTTGTAAACATGTCATTGATCCCTTTAATATCCTCATCATGGAAGTTCTGTTGATGAAATTTCAAGATAATGGCAAGATTAAATATTACTGACAAGGCTCTGAAACACAAAATTTTACATCAGTACAGCGTGTTATTAAGCTAGCTGAGATCTTCATGGTTCTCTGAAATGGCTTATGGGAGTGAAAAAACTTGGTGGTTTTCTGTTTCTACTCTCAAATACTGGTTTGTGCAGCATATGGAAGAGATTTCTACTGTGTGCACGTGTGCATTTGGGTGCGCGTGTGTGTATGTATTTGGGGCTATGTTATTGGAATCTCATGTAAGAAGTTGGCTACTCTCCAAAGTTGAGAAGTTTCACTGGCGTTAAAGAAGATGTATGCTTCCACCCTGTTGAACTTCTTGCTTTTGCATTTTATTGATTTACCTGCCAAAGTATGTGTTAGGCTCTTGAAGCAACTAACTTGTCAATAACATCTGTGGTCTTCTGGACGCAAGGCTTTTTTTTTTCCTTTGGGGAGAAAGGCGCGGGGGATGGGGGTGGGGTGTGTGATTCGTACCCCATGGGCTAGGTGGGACTCGCAAAGAAACAAAATAGTCTCCTTTAGCTGCTGGGAAACTGCCCAGCTATACCCCCTTTGTCAGTTGCCCTGCTCAGGTGGACGTGCCCATATTGTAAAATTCAATCTCAGAAAGTTGCACTTAACAAGAAACTTGTCAAAACTGACTTAAGACTCTGCTATTTTCTTGTCCTCTGAACTTGGCTGTGCTTTTTTACTTTTGCTTCGGATGTATAGACAAGTGATGTATGTCTTCATGCTTTATTGATATTCTTTTCCTGCTTTAAGCTCAAAACTTTTCATTTTCGGTTTTCAGAACATATATTGAAGGTTCACTTGACAATAAATTGCTTTAGTCTGTTCAATCTAAATTGATGCTTTCTGTGAAGTGTTTTTTGCTTTAGTTCTCTGACCTCTTTTTTTAGTTTCTTCCCATCATATTTCATCAATTTGATGGTAAAGAAACTGTGCATAGGGGCAATGTGCAATAATAGTCGTATGTTTACCGTTTTGTCATACGTAATTAGCCACAACATTAACGTTTCAAGAGCTTGAAATGGTTGGTCATGTTACTCTTGCTCAATCTGTGTGTAGGTTGCGTCTTTTTTGCTTTACTTATCTGACGTTGAAGAGGGGGGAGAAACTATGTTCCCTTTTGAGGTATGTTTGGATAGTCTTCTTCCTCTTGAGTTTGGTTAGACCATGTAATCATTTAATTCTGGCATGCAGAATGGTATGAATATGGATGGGACCTATGATTTTCAAAAATGTGTTGGACTGAAGGTGAAACCACGGCAGGGTGATGGACTTCTCTTCTATTCCTTATTACCAAATGGTACAATTGATCCTGTGAGCACTTCTTCTCGTTCATCGTGAACTGCAACTTTTGAAATTTTTCTCGACTGGCAATACTGTCGGTGCTAGATGTGAACTGAATCTCTTAGACTATAGTCAATGTGACGTGCTATACTCAGTTTCTACCCTGATTTCCAGTAAATCATGTAATTGGGAAGAAAACGAAATTGCAATCTTAGTAAATCTGTCATCTATGATCCGCTAAAGATAAAATATCAGTGCCTGTGCATTTAAATAATGAAAGTGTTGCTTCTTTGATTATCATGTTGCCACTCCGTAAGAAAATCATGTTTCAGACCATCATTTCAGTTGAGACAGCATTGCATAAGTTTTCCTTCTTAGTATTTTCCGGTGCAAGTCTTGTTATCCCCACAGTTGTTATAACACTGAAAGATTCGAAATATTCTGCTTAACAATTTCTGTGGTGGCCTTGGCAGACCTCACTTCACGGGAGCTGTCCTGTGATCAAAGGGGAGAAATGGGTGGCAACAAAGTGGATAAGAGACCAAGTGCAAGATGACTAATCGTCTGTAATACGTCACTAGCCACTTTGAGACTGCACAATTTTGCGATATTGAGCATAGGCACGTATTCATTATTTAGTTAGTCTCAAGAGGCTTTTTGGTTTGATAAATGCCTCTTCTTTATGAATCGTGCCATTAGCGTCATATTAGCATTCGTCCGTCAATATCTACAAATGATCTCATCCCAAAGAGAAAGTTCCACTGATCATACGAAAATAGTTGGGTTTGGGAGCTCCATTTTCTGTGTACTTAAATCACACGGATGACCAGAAAGTAATTTATGAAGTTTGAAACCGAAATCTTTTGTTTCTTGCCTTTTATTAGTTTTCCTACTTTCTTGCTTCTTCGGTGTATTTTAATGTAGCATATCTTGAGTTAATTCCATTAAGAAGACTGATTTTAATGGAATTTTCACGTTGAGCTCATACTTTTCCTTTGATTGGTCAGTCAACCCTTACTTTGTTATCAAGAACAGCTATGGAAATCTAACTGGGCAATATTTAGACAGCACCCTTGGTATCTTTTACATCTCAATGAACATGTCGCTTGAGAATCACCCTGACGGGTTAACTTGGTAGGACATTAATGATTGCTGGAAAGAAGAGTTGTCGCAATTTAGTAACAAATCAGATGTCAATTCCATCGAAGTTAGTCTTTTGGCCAATAATTGATTGAATTGATGCTGTGTTTCCTGATGCGACTTAGCACGTGGAAGGTAGGTACATCATTAATTTAACCCGATTTTACGAAAAAGCGCTCGTGCGTTAAAGAAAGATCACACGTTCCCACTAAAAGGTGTAGTAGCTTTTCTGAAGTGTTCTTGTAGTAATTTCAGCGGTGATAAAAGGTGTGGTGGCTTTTTTAAGGCTTCTTTTGTTTCCGTCAAAACGTGTTCCAAAAAACAAGTTTTCCGGATTCTCTGCCGTTTAGCCCAATCAAAACAAATGAATCAAAGAAAATAATTTCCTTCAAAAGTCTTTCAAAACTAGGGAAAAAGACTTCCGCCCTCTGAAAATCGGAATCATTTTCCCAAACTCTCGTGTAACGCAGCTGTAGCTCATTTTGGCGAACGTTCCTCATTGTTGCATGCCTTCCTTTTCCTCCTCTCTTCCTTCTCGCTCATCTCTCTCCGCTCCAGAGCTCCTCCTCCTCTTCGTCCTCCGTTGTTGCCTCTTGCTTCTCTTTTAGCCATGACTACGAGTATAGTAGAGAAGCCGACATCCGCAAGGTGTACCAATTTAGGGTTTTAGACGGTCAAAAAATTAGTTTAGGATAAATTTGTCACATGTGTACTGATTTGGAGGTTTTGATGGTCGAAAATTTAGTTTTGAGTAAATTTATCACGTGTATACCGATTTGGTGTTTTTCGTGATATTAACCATAATTAAATATAATATCATAAAAAATCTCAAATTAGTAGGCCTTGCCACATTTACCCTAATAAATAGATTTTTGTGTCTTGGAAACTTTCAAACCGGTATATCTTGTGCTACATTTATCTCCAAACTAATTTTTATGGCACAAAAAAATGATAAACTGGTGCACCCGTGCAACATTTACCCTATAAAAGTGGAACGGGTCTATAAATGTAGCACTTGTGCACCAATTTGGAGTAAATATGACACGAGTGTAGTGATTCAGAATTTTTTTTTGTGACGTAAAAACGGGAAAAGTGCCAAAAAAGTCATAAACCTTTTGCATTTGTGTCAATTTAGTCATAAATCCTTTTTTTGTGCCAATTCAGTCCTAAACCTTTTTTGCATTGGTGCCAATTTAGTCATAAATCTTTTTTTAGTACCAATTCAGTCCTAAACCTTTTTGTTTTTGTGCCAATTTAGCCATTCTGACCAATTTTGGCCGGATTTTGCTGACGTGAACACCGGCTAGCCAGTCACCGGCACTGACGTGGACAAAATTTAATAATATTTTAATATTTTTTGAATTTTTATTTATTTGTTTTTCATTTTTTCCCCCCCTCCCGTCTTCCTCTAGCCAGTCGCCGGATCGGCGACCCGCCGGAGGCTAGAGGCCGGCGAGGTCCGGCCTCGCCTAGCCGTAGGCGAGGCTCGAGCCCTCGCCGGAGGCCACGAGGTCGAAGGCCTCTGGCGAGGGCTCGAGCCTCGCCGGTGGCTGGGCGAGGCAAGACCTCGCCGGTGGCTGGGCGAGGCAAGACCTCGCCAGATCTAGCGAGGTCTCGCCTCGTCGGGCTCTGGCCTCTGGCCGGTCGCCGGTCCGGTGACTGGCGGAGGAAGGAGGGAGGGGAGGGAAAAACAAAATAAAAATTCAAAAAAATATTTCAATATTATTACATTTTGTCTACGTCAACAAAATCCGGCCAAAATTGACCGAAAAGACCGAATTGGCACAAAAACAAAAAGGTTTACGACTGAATTGGAACAAATGTAAAAAGGTTTAAGTTTGAATTGACACAAAAAAAAAATTTATGACTAAATTGGCACTATTGCAAAAAGTTTAGGACTTTTTTTGCACTTTTTCCCGTAAAAACTAATATAGGATAAATGTGGCACCAGTACACTAATTTGACATAGAAGTGTACCACTTCGTGAGTGTCGCGATACAAAAATTAATTTGAGATAATTATAACATCGATATTATCGGGTTATTTTGGTAACCTAATAATTATCCCACGTGACATTACCCAGATACGATTCCCGACATCCGATTCGTTTCCCGCTAAATTCAGCATGAACTATCCTGCCGCGTCTTGCATTAAATTGCTCTCTCTCTCTCTCTCTCTCACGTTGACACTGAACTGGCAAGAAAGAAGAAGAAAGAATCTGCATTTGATCGAAAGCTTTCATCGTCGTCTGCACCAAGAACACCACCTCCTCCTCTTCCGATTCGGCTCTCCGCTCCCCGTCGGAAGCTTCTTCGGATTGCGAAAACCGGAGGCGATCGCTCGCCCGCTCGCTCGCCGGCAAACATGAGAGGCAAAGCGATCAGGCAGAGCTGGAGCTCCAAGTCGAAGCTGGGGTTGCCTGTGGTCTTCTTCACTTGCTCCTTCTTCTTCCTCGCCGGATTCTACGGCTCCTCTCTTCTTCCTCAGGTTTGCTGTGATTGTTGTGCGCGCCTGGATTTGCTTTTTGGGTGTGCGTGTTTTTTTTACAGTGGGTTGAAGTGAGGTGAGTTCGTTTTTTATCTTTGTAGGATGCGTCTGGAGTAAGAACAAGGGCGAGAGTTCTCGGATCGGTCAGGGACGAGAGAGACTATGCGCCGTTGCTGTGTGGAGAGACCGGGGATGATTCGTTCGTTTCGATTCCTTTCCAGGTTTCCATCACTGTTGTGATTCGTTGGTAGTTGAACTTGCGATCGTCTCTTGGATGTTTCGAAGTTGTGTGATATTGGTTGGACGCATGTTTTGTGGGGTGTGCTTTCTGGGTGGGTCTCTGAACAAAAACAGGACAAACAAAACAGAGAAGAAGTAAGGTTGATCAAGTTAATATTGAAACAGACTTTGCTACGTTTCTCTGTTTTCGGGTTTTTCTTTTTGTGCTGAGAAAGATCAGCTTTTGTGTTCTCTGTTTTGTGATGAGAACATGGTCTCATATGATTTTCTGTCTTTGTTTCTTGGGTAGGTGTTGAGCTGGGGACCTCGTGCTCTCTACTTTCCTAATTTTGCGACAGCAGAACAATGCCAACTCATAATAAAAATGGCAAAGGGAAGTCTCACACCTTCAACCGTGGCGTTGAGAAAGGGAGAAACAGCACAGAACACGAAGGGCATTAGAACAAGGTGTATTCTCTTTATTTTGTCTAAACTAGTCGATGTTATCTAAGGATTTGAGTGCATACATCTAAATTGTGTCAGCTGGCTCAATTTGCATTGTTATGTGCCTTACATAATGAACTGAAAGACATTCCTTTTTCTGTTCTTTCATTCGCTGTCATTATATTCTACAACAACGGAGCTTTTAAAGAGATGCATGGACTAATTACCTATGAATTGGTTTGAGAAAATGTGGAAGCCAAATCCATAACCAGAAATGCAATTACTACAACGTGATACTATGGAGAATGGATGAATATGACTTTTTCTATGCATCTGAAGTTCCTCTACTTAATTTTTTTTTTTTTATACCCAAGTATGTGTGACGATGCGCAAACATTGCATAAGTAGAAGTAAGAGGCGGCTTTATTGTAATGTTTGGTTAACTGTTTCTTTCCACGCAGTTCTGGCATGTTCATAAGTGCTTCTGAAGACAAAACTGGAACCTTGGACATTATTGAAGAGAAAATTGCAAGAGTGACGATGCTTCCAAGGGAACATGGAGAGGTAGTATTCTACCCTGGAAGTCGTCATTATCAGTAGCAGTTTTTGGGTGATTATTTTGTAAGTTTGTGATGCATCAACATGAGTCCTACCTAACTTTTTGCCACTACTCTCTTCACTCACATCAGAGGGCATACCTTCAGATTTTATATTTGAATGATCCAAATGAACAAAGTCCTCTTCCACCTTGAGCGCTATTGAACAAACCCAATTAACTAGTTTGTTTTCCTTTCTCTTGAGTGGCTGTTGTTAGGGGTGCAATGAGGCGAGTCGATACAATGCTAAGCTCAAGCTTGACTCAACTCGCATGCTTGGGTCTCCAAACTCGGTTTGAGCTCAATGGAGTAACAAACTATAGGCTTGAGCTCGAATTCAAGCTCAAGTTTATAAGCTCAAGCAGTTTCCCTGCATATGTGTATTAGAGTTAAATATGTAATTTTAACGATTTCTGTGTCTTTTTGTAATTAGAAGATGTCATTGAAAAAATAATAGAAGCTTGATTAGGGTCGATTAGACTCATGAGCTTGTCAAGCTGAGTATTGGCGATCTCGAATTCAACTCGACAAGTTGCTCAATAGCTCCGGCTCGAGCTCCCTTGAAATGAGGTGAGCTGATCTCGAGTGATCATCGAGCAAGCAAGAGCTTCTCATAAATAGCTTGACTCAGTTTCACCCCTAGCTATTGTCGTTGTAGCCTACTTAGGATCATGAATAGAAGGTATCCCACCTCATGATCATGAATAGAAGGCAAGATAATTTGCATCTCAACTTTTGAGTTAGATAATGGTATAAAGAATGAGGACAAGAACAACTTAGGATATCGAAAACCAACTTCGTTCTCCACCTCCAAATATATTTACATTCCTCAACCTGTTATCTCAACAGAATATATAGTATGGTACTTTCTGGTCAACATGTCATGGTGGTTAAGTTGTGTACACAATCTAACTTGCTCTTTTGGCTGGAAGGTTTTTGTTGTCACTGATTATTGACAGAGAAACAAAATCACACATTGATAGTTTGTGTGTACAATCTTATTTCCTCTTTTGATCTCAAATTGTGATTGCGAGGTTTTCATTTCACTAATCATTTATAGAGGGGGAAAAAGCACATGTTGTTAGTTTATGCCCTATGTTTGAAGCTCTTCTTCATTCTCAAATAGTCACTGCACGTGATATATTCTCTCTTTTTGGTTAAATTTCTTAACCTTTCATTTTCAGGGAAGATCTAAAATTGTTTGAGGATATCACCATGTTTCAGGCATTCAATGTGTTACACTACGAGATTGGGCAGAAATATAATTCTCACTATGATGCATTCAATCCCGCTCAATATGGCCCACAAAAAAGCGAGAGGGTATGCTTGCTACAAAAATTCGTTGCCTCTACTTTTTGTATATTTACTAATTTGGTGAGGCATGGATGATAATGTCCTTGTAAACATATGTCATTGATCCCTTAAATATCCTTATCATGGAAGTTTTGTGAATGAAATTTTAAGATAATGGCAAGATTAAATACTACCGACAAGGCTTGGAAACACAGTGTTTTACATCAGTTCAACCTATTATTAAGCTAGCTGAGCTCTCCACGGTTCTCCGAAATGGCTTATGGGAGTGAAAAGACTTGGTGTTTTTCTTGTTCTGCTCTCAAATACTGGGAAGTGCAGCATATGGAATAGATTCCTTTTGTGTGCATGTGTGCGTTTAAGTGCGCGTGCGTGTATGTATGTGGGGCTATATAATTGGAATCTCACGGAAGAAGTTATCTACTCTCCAGAGTTGAGAAATTCCACTGGCGTTAAAGAAGACGTATTCTTCCACCCTGTTGAACTTCTTGCTTTTCAATTGCAATGATTTACCTGCCAAAGTATGTGTTAGGCTCTTTAAGCAACTAATTTGTCAATAACAGCTGCGGTCTCCTAGAAGCAAGGCTTTTTTTTTCTTTGGGAGACGGGCGCCGGGGGTGGGGGTGGGGATGGGGTGTGTGATACCTACCCTCTGGGCAAGGTGGGACTCGCAAATTAACAAACTAGTCTCCTTTATCTGCTGGGAAACTGCCCAGCTATTCCCCCTTTGTCAGTTGCCCTGCTCCGGTGGACGTGCTCAAAATTCATAAAATTCAAACTCAGAAAAGTGCACTACACAAGAAACTTGTCAAAACTGACTTAACACTGCTATTTTCTTGTCGTCTAATCTTGATTGTGCTCTTTTACTTGTGCTTCGGATATATAGACAAGTGATGTATGTTTTCATGCTTTCTTGATATTCTTGTCCAGCTTTAAGCTTAAAACTTTTCATTTTCGGTTTTCAGAACATATATTGAAGGTTCACTCAACAATAAATTGCTCGTCAGTTAAATATAAATTGATGCTTTCTGTGAAGTTTTTTTTGCTTTAGTTCTCTGACTTTCTTGTTAGTTTCTTCCTATCATATTTCATCAATTGGATGGTAAAGAAATGTGCATAGGGGCAAAGTGCAAGAATACTCATATGTTTACCCTTTTTTCTTACGTAGCCACAACATTTACATTTCAAGAGCTTGACAGGGTTGGTCATGTTACTCTTGCTCAATCTGTGTGTAGGTTGCCTCTTTTTTGCTGTACTTATCTGACGTTGAAGAGGGGGGAGAAACTATGTTCCCTTTTGAGGTATGGTTGAATATCTTCTTCCTCTTGAGTTTGGTTAAACCATGTAATCATTTAACTCTGTCATGCAGAATGGTAGGAATATGGATGGGACCTATGATTTTAAAAAATGTGTAGGACTGAAGGTGAAACCACAGCAGGGTGACGGACTTCTCTTCTATTCCTTATTACCAAATGGTACAATTGATCCTGTGAGTACTTCTCCTCGATCATCATGAACTGCGCCTGCTGATATTTTTCTCTGACCTGCAACACTGTAAGTGCTAGATGTGTACTGAACCTCCTAGATTATAGTCAATGTGATGCGCTATACTCGCAGAGTTTTCGACCCCTGTTTCCAGTAAATCGTGTTATTGGGAAGAAAACGAAATTGCTCATCTTAGTAAATCTGTCGTCTATGATCTTCTTAAAGAAGCGTTGCTTCTTTGATTATCAAGTTGCCGACTCTGTAAGAAAATCATGTTTCAGACCATTATTTCGGTTGAGTCAGCATTGCCTAAGTTTTCCTTCTTAGTACTTTCTGGTGCAAGTCTTGTTATCCCAACAGTTCTAGTAACACTGAAAGAGATGAAAATATTCTGCTTAACAATTTCTGTGGTGGCCTTTGCAGACCTCACTTCACGGGAGCTGTCCTGTGATCAAAGGGGAGAAATGGGTGGCAACAAAGTGGATTAGAGACCAAGGGAGATGATTAATCGTCCGTAGTGCGTCACTAACCACCGTGAGACTATGCACGAGTTTGCGATATCGAGCATAGGCATGTACTCATTATTTAATTAGTCTCAAGTGGCTTTTTGATTTAATAAATGCCTCTTCTTTATGAACAGTACCATTACTGTCATATTAGCATTTTGTCTGTCAATATTTACAGATGATCCCATCTCAAAGAGAAAGTTTCACTGATAATACGAAGATAGTTGGGTTTGGGAGCTCCATTTTCTGTACTTAATCAAACAGATGACCAGAGAGTCATGTATTAAGTTTTTCTTCTAAAATAGATGTTTCACTTTCTGTTTGGTACAGAAGAAACGTTCCATTCTCAAGCTGCAAATATTACGGTTAATGTAAAATCTCCACTCTTGAATTAAAAGGAAAAATGAGAATCCCCCTAAAGCTTATGATTTCCTTATTGAGACCTAGGCAAAAATTGATCTCCAGAGTCTCAGACGATAAAAAATATGGAATGCAGTCACTCAAATCTCGCAACATCAAAATAGTTGCCAGACAAAAATTCCACAGCTAGCAAGAGGTCCTCATTCCCCAGATGATGACCTAATGGATCATTGCCTTCTCTCATATGGCTTTTGATGAATTGGCATTGATTTGCTTTCATATCTTGATTTCCATAGGGTTCAAACAGACTCCGCAACTGATAGTCGCTGTTGATAGCATCTTCTTTGCAATGAACTAATTTCTGTCCTCTGCTTGGGGTAAGGGCGGTAGAATTTGACCAACACCTTTTGCCAATCATTCGACCCCCTTGCATGCTGTCACTACATTTTATACGCAATTGGAACCAATCCTTATCCTTCCTCCGTCCCACTGATGAGCCATTCACATCAAAGCGATCCAGACATAGGCAAACGAGTGATGAACTCACAACTTGCGCAAGTGCTGGTATGGTTGCTTCCCTAACCGCTTCAAGACATGCATGCAACCAGCTGCCGCAAAAAGCCCAATGGCAGCAAATGCCATAATTGCTGCGTTACTGATACTGCGATAGTAGCCTCCCTGGAACAATTGACAACTCATAATGGAAACATTTTCTCAATAGATCTACCCGAAAATGCAAGTAAGCTAAATTGTGGTAGTCCTCAGGAAAAGAACCTGATGGGTGTTGCTCCAACACCCAAACACATGAACCACTAACAAGTTGCAGAAAGTCATCAAGAGGACTAAAGTGAGGGAAGAAGAGTGGGAAGATCAGACAATTATTTGGCTCTTCATCATGTTTAGTAAAACAAGGTTCCAAATGGCACTGTCATGTCAAAGTTCTTCTCTACTAAATATATAAAACCGTTCACGCCCAGAAGGTTCAGTGATAATACCTTTAAGTCACCCACCAGCAAATATGTGCAGGACATCAGAAAAGAACAAACTAATGTTTATACTGATTGTTAAGTTCATCGATAAGCCACTTAGTTGCTAAGAACATCTTTCAGAAAATATGCACTCTAGACCAGGTCTGCAATGCTAGAAGGCCATGTAAAATCGGCAAGTAATGCACAATGGAAGAGCTATTATCGAAGCTTTCTACAGAGGCAGAATGGTTTTTACTAACTATGGTACTTAATCGTCATAGCAAATGCAATCTCATTCATTAATCCAGTGCTTCTAGCCTATTTATCTTGTCCTTTCTAATCATGACATATTTCCTCTTCCATAAAATCTTGTAAATTTTCTGGCACACCGTGAAACTTATAGATAGTTGTAACAATCATGTCCTTAACCTTGCCTTACGATTTACAGCTGAAGCTGATCTACATTCAAAACTTGGACTATTTTTCCGACCCTAATGATCTAAACGAAAAATCATACAGTACAAATCCAGAATTGATTGATCTCCCTCCTGGTTTACGTCACCACTGCACGCAAGAAATATGGAGATAGACTAGAAAGTAGATCGTATTTGAAACTCACTTGCACCAAAAATAGCAAAACTGCAGCATTCGCAGGAGCAAGAGAAAAGCTTATCATTCCTCCTCGCAAGCCATTTGGCACATACCTACAAAACATAATTAGCAATAATCATAAACATCCATCCATATATCAAAATTAGCAATATCTTGTGTTGAAATTCCAGCAAACAGCTCAGAATGGCATACATGGTCCTCAATCTGGCAAGAGAAGGTAGGATTACGCCTACACATGCCTGAAATAAGCAGAATAATGTCACTAGAACTCCAATTTCCTGCACAACACAAGCATAGTTTCTGTCAGCATGTGATGGTTACAAAATCAGATATCGAATCATGCATTGCCATTTAAGAAAACAGAAATACCTGATAGTCATAGGCTACAACAGATAGCACACAACCTGATATGATGAATGCATAAAGAATGCAATCTTCAGTTCGAAATGACAAAGATCCACTTATGAGCCAAGGAAAAATTGTGCTTCCGAGCATTCTTGCTCCCAAAAGACACGGATATATCAAGCCCAGATGCAGTTCTCTGCCATCAGCCTGCACTCCAAATGCATTCAATAAAATCATGGGGTAAGCTCACTTTGTATAAACAGTGAGACTTGTTTTTTTGTGCCAGTAAACAATTAGTAGTTGAAACCAACATTTTGTGTGCAAAGGATGGGATCAATGCTGCTGTTCATGTAAGTCCTCCAGGCGATATTAATATCCCTTTCAGAAAGATGTGTAACAAGAACGTACCACCAACATGGGGGTCCAGAGAATCCAAAACATTGATACAGAGAAGTGAAGGCTAGCTTGTGCACATGCCAATAACCATACTCTTCTATCTGTGAACCACAAGTAGATCAAATTTAAGAATGTATGCAAGAATTTTAACTAAATAATATTCTGAGTAAAATCTAAAAAGGTACCTATAAAATGGTCTATTTGTTAGTGAATAAGGAAAAACATTAACTAAAATGTAAATAGCTTGATCTTGAAACAACCAACAATTCTAAAAGAGCACATAATTCATTGACATGGCAGCAAATGATAAGGGCGATGAGAGAAAATAGACTGATAAAGAAGAAAAGAAGGAACCATTCATCACAATTATTTTGGAATGAGAGCCATTTACAGGAGCCACAGGCTCGAGAAAATTTCCTAATTGCCGTTTTGCCAACATCGGATTATTGAGTTCAGGCAGATTTTTGTTTAAAGCTTTGCAGATTTGCTCAAGATTAGTTTTGCCAACATCGGATTATTGGATTACTTCAGCACTATTAAGATTAGTAGACAAAAGCTACACCCTTGTGCTGCAGGGGCATTTCAAATTCAGACACGTCTAATCATCTTTTGGCTGGTCATAACCTCCCTTGTGCCTCGAGGTAAGCAAGTTTAACGCTCAATCTTGGTCCTCAACTAACCCACAATGAATAATCTTGTGGAGGAACTTTTCAAATTTTTCAAAGATCAATGCAACAAGACTACACAACTATATAGCCCACCTTTAAACCCTTTAGGTGAGGTAACATCACTAAGCATGTGCTTTTTGGTTCCAAATCTTAAGGCATCTGATGTTGAGACATACTTCAGCCAATATCATACTCTGTATTTAAAATATCCATGAATGTCCTCATAAGTAGTGAACTCCTGTTATTTGATGTAAACCAGAGATCACTATGGGAACATCAAATATAATCTGAGACCTCTAATTAATCAGCCATTAATTCAAGTTGAGATGTCAGCTTCAATGAAGAGTGGATACTTTTCATACGATAGCAGACTGGTACTATTGAGCAAAGGAGAGATCCAACTCTTACCATCGGAAAAATAGGACCTGCCATGATCCTCAAATACCTCCGTTCGAGAAGATTCTCTCCACAGCCGTGCAACACAAATAACGCCCACCAAAGCCAAGAAGACAGCTGCCATCGAAGGAGAAGTCATTCTCTTTTTCAAGTTGTCACCAATCAGCCAATTGGCAAGCACCTGGCTTCCAATGAAAGATGCAGACCCCAAGAACGCCATTAACCAAAAGGTGTCGCTCAATAAATCTTCTCTGTGCCCTTGCTGTAAAGAGAAAGGAAACAAAAAATGCAAACTCTTGTTACAATCCCAAGTGTGGTTTCTACTGCTAATGAGAAGGAAAAATGTATGGGTTGAAACTTGTATGATATGAGTCAACATCTTATAGTAAATGGGAGTGAAACTGAAGCTTCTGACACGAACCTTTTCATGTTCAACGACCATCCATGTCTCAAAACTGAAAGAGTATATTGAAGAAGCCAGAGACAAGCATATACTTGCTACCCAAACACTGGGATGGGCAGTTATCGTCTTCCATACGCCAACAAAAAGGTGCAAGATGCAAAAGAATAAACAGAATTTCCTGTGGCCTCTGCAGACAGCAGTATACGTCAGTTCATGTACTATAATTTATTCCAAATGTAGGACTAGCCACATAATCGCGTAAAGAAAAGCTTCCTTATTTATCCTTTTTATCTTTATCCCATCAACTATACTTTTGTCAACAAAATACCTGCCTAGGAATTAGAATTATCAAGAAGTACCTTGCATTCTTGAAGTCCCTGCTAGACATAACCCAATATCGTAAACAACTTGTCACAATTCCTCAAGATTTGCATCAAAAGAGTATATCCAATACATGGTAATTTCTCAAAAACAGAGTGGACGTTCCTAGAAGAACATGAAGGTAATAAAAGCAGCAAGTAAGCCCAATCAAAGCAGGTCACGCATATTTGCAGATTGAAATCCAATCCCCAGTTGTAAGGCAATTGTGAAATCATCCCACGTGCTAGATTTTGCTATACTCACCTACCTCTCAGCCTGGTTTGCTTCACTAAATCATCAGCTCAAATAGCAGCCAGCAACACGACGACAATACACATTCCAGGAAGCAATGGAAAGAGAGCAAGCGAGAAAGAAAGAAATCAAGTTCGGCCAACTCACATTGCATCAGAAAGCACTCCGAGGAAAGATCCAACGACGAGAGAGCCCGCGAACCCAACGCAAAGGGACAAAACCATCCGCTCCCTGCTCACGCCAAAGTAACTGAACTCGAACTCCCCGAACACCGACGACAGCCCTTCCATCACTGCCCAAACACAACAGCACGAGAAGCGAAGCTCAGTTCAAACACACGCCGCTCCGCGCGCGCGCACGGGGGAAACGAATCGATCGGCGACCCGAGCGACCGAGCAGGAGCGAATGCTGACCTGAGCAGAGGGAGTAGAGGAGGAGGAAGCTCCGCTGGAACCGCGAGGAGGAGGAGAGCGGGGCCCCGTGGTCGAAGGCGGAAGGGGGCGGCGCGCTTCTGGCGGCGTAGGGGAGGAGGAAGACGGAGAGCAAGCAGGCGAGGAAGATGAAGACGAAGAGGGAGGGGTTCGGCTCCCAGGCGGTGGTTTCGATCACGACCGCCATGGGATCGCGGCGGCGGAACGGCGGCGATTCTCAGGTATCTAATTCCGGCCGCCGCAGAGAATGGGGATGAAGGAAGACGCGGTGGATCGACATTTTCTGGGAGTTGCGCGGCGAGTTAATTTTCCGGGAAAAACAAGAAGAAAACAAGGGAAAAAGGAAAAAGAAAATGGAGCAAGAAAAAAAAAAATGTAATATCATTCATCTGTCATGTCACTCCCGCACTTACTTTATAGTGAAAAAATTGGGAAAACGACACGATTAGACAATAAACTTGAGTTAATTAAAAAAAAACACTAATTTTAGGTCGAGAGACAATTTTGTCTTTTTTTTTTTTTCCTTTCCGCGAGGGCCTCGCCGGATCCGGCGAGGGGGCCTCGCCGCCGGCCGAGCGAGGGCGGCCCGGCGCGGCGAGGCCGCCCTCGCCGGATCCGGCGAGGGCCGCCTCGCTCGACGCGGCGAGGGCCCCCCTCGGCGATCCGGCTGAGCGCGCAGCGGAGGGCCCTCGCGGAAAGGAAAAAAAGAAAAAAAAAAAAAAGCAGAAAAGACGAAAATGCCCATGGACTAAATACATTGGGGTAAATGTGTCACAAAAAGAAAGTCGGATTTTTGTGTCACAAAAAAAGTTATAAATGTCAATGACTAAAATTTGGGGTTTTAGTGTTTTTCCCAAAAAATAATGTAATATCATTCATCTGTCATGTCACTCCCGCACTTGCTTTATAGTGAAAAATTGGGAAAACGACACGAATAGACAATAATCTTAGGTCCGACGTACAATATTATCACTCAATTTTTAATTTATTCAATGCGGCCCATCAATTTAATGCGCAATGCCGTCTCTGAATTTTTAATTTGTTCAATATCGTCCCTGAACTTTTAATTTGTTCAATGTGATTCCCGAATTTCATATGTGGTTCGGGGAAAATATTAAACATTTTCATATAGTCCAAGGACTGGATTAAACATATACTAAAAGTTCAGGGATCACATTGAACAAATTAAATATTCATGGACGACACTTTGGATCAAAATTCAGATGCCATTTGTGCAATTATCCCAAATCACATCTAAAGTTGAAGGATTTCCAAATTATTTGAATCACTAAATCTGGTCGATTTGCTTAATGGCTCGATGATGATCTATAAGAGTTGTAAATCGGATTTCTTTCGTGAACCTTTTTCTGAAAGGTGACCATATTCGATTAGTTCGTAATCCGAGATAGAGTCCCGATCAGATTTGAGTTACCATCATCTCCATCCGTATTGTTATTTAGAGAATTCCCGATTTCTTTCATTCTACTCTCTCATCTTATCTCCCATCGAATTCGGCTATCTGGGGACTTAGGAGACGAGGTCTCCAAATTTAGGCCAAAACCAAACTTAGCATGCGTTTGTTTTACGAAAAATGAATAATTTGAAAAATATAGTCCTAAAAATGATCTGTTATTATTGTTCATAAAAATAAGTGAATGATAAATATGCTCATCATCCATGAAAATATTTAGATATAAATTATTATCAATAATAAAAATATTTTTTATTTAATAATTATTTCGAGCGATATAAGTGACCATTTTTAAGAAAATGTTCTCTGAATCATTCGAATTTTTTCTTTGGCAATAGATGTTAATTTTTTCAAAAGATTATGCTTTAACTTCGAAGTCAACTGCTATTAATATTCAATGGTTGTATCTGTTCATGAGCACCTTCTTTTCACTCTTATATAAATGTATCCCCTTCGTTCATATAATAAAATAAGGGATATGTTTATTAGGAGTCATAAAACTTATTGCAAATGTGCAATTGAATTCCGAAACTTGCAAAAAGTACAATTAAGTTTTAAAACATGTTAAATTGGTTCAATCAAGTCCTAAAGTTAACACCGTTGCATTTTTAAATGAGACAATTTCGACCATTGAAAAAAAAAAAAAAACTCCCCTAATCTTCAAATATCTACATGTAATGGCAATTTCGGTCATTAAACATCATGCCCAGAAACAATAAATGCTAGGAAAACCCTTCATGAACTCAAGGAAAAATATATTTTTTTTTCTTCTTCTTCTTTTCAGTGTCAAATTACACTCGAAACCTCTCTCTATGTCTGCACTCTCCTGAGGAGTTCGAGATAAAACTTACAAAGCGCAGCAATTTTGATATTTACAAGTATTTTCCGCCCCGAAAGAAGAAGCACCATTTTCTCATGAGGTCATAAATTTACATAGAAGATTGTACTTTGTTGATCCTAAAACGTGCAAAATGAAACCTAAGTTTACTATCAGCTAAGATAAACTTCAATGGCTAGACTAAGAGTTATAATCCTCTCCCTAATCAAAATAATTGCCTGTACAATCTCTTGATGTGCCTCGTTCACCAAAGTCTTGTCTGCATCATGGAGCCCAGTGACATCAGGATCATGTCGCAGGATTCAGCTTCTGTGATCTTCATAGAGGATATTAGGATGCAAGTTAGTCTCATGAAAAAAAAAAAAAGAAAAAAAAAGTCGGATATCTATGAAAGCACGCCACGGAGGATGGACAGTGATCTCTTTAAACGAGTCCCGAGAAAAGTTCGAGCTAATTTTTCTTCACTAGAAATTATTCAATCAACCTAGTACATATATTAAAATGAAATTGGACCGTCGAATCGGGGGAGGCATTTGTGGGACCCACCATTCTAGTGGTTCGTATTCAATTTTCCATATATTACACTCATCTAATAGTTTCTTCTTTTTCACCCAAAACTTTTTGAATTTCTTACATTATTGGTACTTGCTTAGTCTTTATTGACCAGTTTCTTCCAATTAGGGTCTCAAATTCAATATTCACGATGATTTCCTAATCTCTGTGTTAGTAGTTTTCCTCACTTATCCTAACTTTTCTTAATCAAATGTAAGTTCAATCACCTTTATGTCCACGGCTTTCTTTTAATCTACGGACCAAACACCAATTTAAAAAGCAGATCTGGCGGACCGCCTTTTCTTGTTTTGTACAATCTATACCGAATGCGGGACCGATTTTACATAAAATAAAAACACTCGGGGGACAGAAGAAAGCCGTCAAAGATGCTGATATGGTACCTGTTTCGGTCAGTTTTCTTTTCGTTTGCTGCTCCATCACTGTCCTCAGATTGCAGATTAGCTTCCAAAATGTTTCGGCATCTGTACAATCTTCTTCTTCTTCTTCCTCCTGACCAAGAAAGCACCAGCAAAAGAACAGAACAAATACTTCAAGAAACTGGAATTCTTGCAAAGAAACGAAGAAGACATAAATGGGACAAGCAAGATCAAACTACTTACGACCCCATCGTTCTGCATCCAGTTGGGAAATTTTTCTGAGAGAAGATTGATGTATTCCTCCATGGCAACCTCCGGGCTCGTGTTCCCAAGCTGTCGCCAAGCATTCCTAAAGCTCACAACCCCACACAAATTGTAATCATTAAAATTGCAATCATTGTTTTTTCCTGTTAATATGGCTAGAATCCATACATGGCTAGAGGAAGACATTGTTGAATCTCTACCAATAATATACAGAAAATATAATCTTGCAAAAAATAGGCAAAAAAAATACGATTATTCTTCTTGGATTTGATTTTTCTGAAAAGGGTCTTATGTATGAGAGGGAGGGGAATCAAATTTTGATAGCGATACATCTGAAAGATAAATATATGGGTTAATACTATTAAAAATCGCAAACTGATATCCATCACGCATCTAACAAAAACAAATTCCTGTTTTACAAAAAATTCGAAACTCGTATCCTAACCCAAATTTACCTCTTTAGCATTTTGTCCAATTTGCCATCAAAATGAATACGTATGAAGACATGTGGCAACCACTGCATTTTAAATGAACATATTGGACGAAATGCCAAAAGGGGGTAAATTTGGATCAGGTACCGGTTTAAGTTTTTGCGAGACGAAAATTAGATGTTAGTAATTGTGTCATGGAAGTATCGATTTGAGATTTTCAATGGCATTAATCCTAAATATAATTCTTTTACTTATGCATCTTGCTATGGATACAGTATTTTTTAAATAGGTAATTAAGAATACTTTGAAAAATTATTTACTTATGCATCTTGCCAATGATACAGTGGTTGCTTAATAGATAATCAAGAATACTTTAGAAACGAAATACTATAGATATAATATAATATTTCAAAAGATCTCAATAAATATATGGGCGATCGGTTTTGTTTTATATGTCACGGTACGGATAATAAAAATTATTCTAATTGTAAATAATCAGATGTAGATTGCTTCTAAATACCAATATTGTCGCTTCCAAAATTATTCTGAATTATAATGACTCACGAAATAGATAATAATCATTAGTCAACAAATAATCAGAGAGATATTGATGAAGTTGTTGACTTTACCACTTGGCTCTAGCCGAGACCCTGAACGCCATCGGCCGGCGGTCGCCGCACGGCCCCTCGAGCGCGACCTTGTGGAGCCCGTACAGCTTCGCCGTCGGCTCGCCGTGGATCCCCGAGATCAAACCGGCATTCCGCGCCGAGCACGCGAACCGGACGGCCCGCCCGAAAAGCCTCGCCCACTCGCTTCTCTCCACCCCCTCCCAGTCGTCGTTGTCTCCGCCGACCGATCCTCCTCGGAACTCTTTCGTCCACAGTTCCGTCCCGGTTCCGGCACGAACTCCATCCGAACCCTCGGAACCGGCGGTCCCGACTTCCCTCGCCGTTCGATCATCGCCCCGAGACGCGACGGGTTCGTCGCCGGCTGAGTCCTTGCGCGATCCGGGGCTCGACGGCGAAGCCGGTTCGGCGGCGGTTCGCGCCTCGGCCATGTCGCGGAGTTTGGCCACGACGACGCAGAGGAGGAGGAGGGTCGCGAGGATGACGAAGAAGGGGAACTCGAAGTGAAGCACCATGGCTCTAGAGAGAGAGAGAGAGAAGGACAGGCTTAGTGCAGTCGAGTGCTACGACGATAACTTAGAAGTTTGCAGAGAGAGAGAGAGAGAGAGAGGGGATATTGCAGAGAAGAAGAAGGTATATTCTGCTGCATTCGCACAGGCGGAGTGGGTCCCGCTTCTTCTGGTGGACCAGAGACTGCGTATACCGTATAGGATTCCTCGCAAACGTACTAGGAATAACCGGGAATTGGTTTGCTTTTATGCCCTCGGACTTTTCGTATTTCCGGTTCACGCCCGACATTTTGTGGTAATCGAAGCAAAGTGTCCAAGTCTCGACCCTTTCTCTTCTTTTTATTTTTTTTGTCAATTGTTATGGTTCTCTCTCGACCATTAGGCTTAGGAATATGAATTTTATTAGGTGCACTGAAAATGTAAAAGAAATTTTAGGCAATCACGGCGACATATTATTGTAGAAAAATTAGTCGATGGATAATATTTTAATTATCGAAAATAATTGATGCCTGACTATTGTTGTGGGTGATGAAAGTATTATGTAATCATTCATTCATGTAAGCAATGTGAGCTATTTTGTGGAAATTTTTTTTCCAAATCTCGAATTTTTAGTTAAACGAACGCACTCGTAATTTTGAATTCTCGCACATGCCATATATGTAATTTGAATTCTTTTGGTATCTAAAAGCAAAGTTAGACTATTTTTATTTCTTAGCTCATTGGTATTGAAACTTAGGTACATAATTTTTTTTTTTGATAACCAAAACTTAGGTACATAATTTGTCTATAGAGAAACTCAAAACCAGAGAAAATTATCCAAAAAATTTGAAATCTCTCCTAAGCTTTCCAATTTGCCAATGTAGTTCTTGAAGCTTTTGAAGATATTTTAATGTAGTTCATTTGGCCAATTTAGGTCGGAAATCGCAAATACGGCGGTCTGATCAGCGCCGGCCGTCCTATATATGGCACACTCGATGATTTGACGTGTCTGATTCTACTTAAATTGTCGTCACTTGGAGAGATTTTATTAATTTTCTCTTTTCTTTCCTTTTTCTTTTCTTTTTTTTTTTCATCACTGTTCATCTTCCCGAAAAGAGCCGACGAGGGTAGCTCGAGGCCTCAATGATGGCTGGAAACTCTCGCCTAGCATGCCCTCGCCTATAGCCAACGAGGGTCGTTGGCCATCATTGAGGCTCTAGCGATCCTCGCTGGCTCTATATGGGGAGATGAATGAAGAAAATGAAAAAAGTGAGAAAAAAAGAAGAAGAGAAAAGCAAGAAAAAAAGAAACAACTATGAAAATTGTCAAAATGACGTCGTTTTGAGTGGATTTGGACATCTCAGATTGCCAGTTGTGCTAGGTAGGATGTCAGGCACTAATTGGATTGCCATGCCAATGATTTTCGACCTAAATTGGTTAAATGGACTACACTGGGTAATTTTCAAAAAATGTATTATTTTATTGGCTAAATTGAAAAGTTTAGGAGTCAATTGACGTCCATACAATAGGTTTGAGACTTTTCAGACAATTTTTTCCTCAAACCAATGTGGAAATTATGACATGATTAAAAGGCTTTCTATAAACAAATTATGGAAGTTGAGAAGTAGGCTTAAGTCATTCTGCTTGTAACCCTTTGAGGTTTACATTGAGGATAAGGATTGAATTTGTGTGTGTCGATTAGGTGCTTTATACAGATGCAATTCCCAGCCCACAGACTTTAGAATTCCATGTTGAGCCATTCATTCAAGTTTTGATTCTCATTTTACTAGTTTATCAGGTTAGTGTGGTATTTCATGACCCTAGACTTACTTTGCCTAAATTGACTTTCTCGTCATAAAAAGAAGGCAATATAGTACTTGAACTTCCATCATCATTACTCATAACAAGACTGAACACAAATAAGTTTATAAGTTGACACTAATTTACACAAAGTAACATTTTTCGTTGTAAGTCAATTATTTCTCATGTAGAATCAAAATCAAGATGTTAATACCAACACAACTTTACACAAATTACAAATGCGATTATGATACACCGACGTGAATTGCCAACCTTAATCGGTGATAAATGGTTGGTGACAAGTAAAATGAGAATGAAGAATCACGTTTTCGTACAATAGTTTAAGCATTTTGGGGAATTAATTGTCATCTCACAATTTCTACACGCATCAGAGTAGGACATTTTATATCAATTTTCCTCCAAAACTATTAATTTCTCCATAATTTAATCATTTAGGGGAAGTGTTAGAGTAATAGTTAAACTATTGCATCAAATTTGGCAACTACATGCAAATCGCAAAAAAATGGAAAATCCGTGAAGGAAAAATAGAGGATACACAATTAGTGTAAGTGAACCATTGATTTGAGGATGATAATTATGCATCATCTCTCATATCAATGGTTATAAGACCTCTTGTGTGAATTTTTTTTTATACCGCCAAAGTTTGCTATAATTGGTCGTATATCGAGAAGAAAGATACTTAAGGATGCAAATTTAAGTAACTGAAGGACTTTTGGCTAAAAAGAGTCTACCAGGGAGTAATTTGAAATTCCCCAAAAATCTTGAATGGAGGTAATGTATGAAAAGGACTCTTATCACCAAGAGCGCTAACGCCCATAAACAGAGATTAAGGGAGAGTTGAGGTATCAGCTTTCAATGACCTAACGACGGCTGTCTATTGACTTTGAGTGGAGTTCTTGCTGGTTACATTCTACCTTATATGAGACTGGCCTATATATATATATGACTATGGATAAGATCATCAAGATATTGAATAAAAGCAAGAAGGTATAGAAAGATTAGGGGTGGTTGGTTCCCGGTCCGGTCCGGTTCAGCTCCAAGGTGGAATCGGGAACCGGGGACCAGACCAATTGGTACTAGGACCGGGGACCGATCACTTTTTTTTTCCCACTATTTGATACCGTATATTTTGAAGTTAGAATTGTGTTTCCCATGTTGACTACACATAATCACAAAAACAAGCATGCAATTCAAGCCAATGCGATAACGAATTGTGTTCCCCATGCCGACTATACATAATCACAAAAAAAAAGTATATGTAATTGGTTCGGTCCGGTTCCCCTAGGAACCGGGAACTAGACCAAACCGGCCGGTCTGGGCGGTTCCCGATTTAGGCGGTCCGTTTTGCACACCCCCAAAAGAGATGACTTAACAAGAATTATTTCCATCTTTACTTCGCTTAATCTGTCCATCTATATATCAGTCTAGCCTCCTAAAGAAAATAATAAAAGTTCATCAACCTTACTTCGAAAAAAGATTAAAGTTATACAAAAAAGGATCAAATTAATATAAGTTCATCAACCTCATTGGCCCATAATCAGTGAAGTCCTCCTATACTCTTAACAAAACTTTTAGATTAGAGAACTTTGCATATATAAGAGAAACATAAATGCAAACTAATCGTAAAGCTCCACTAAATTAAGCGGCCTAATTCCCTTGAGAAGCGCCAATTTTCAGTCGAGTTTCAATTTCTAGCCCAAACTTTTTTTTTTGTCTTATAAAAGAGCACCTTCGCTCATATTCCATATTCAGCTCCCATGAAGTTTCCGTCCAATGATACCATTAAAGATGCAACATGTCATTCCACGTGTACTCGACGACTCATGTCTGAGTTGATGTGGAAAAGGAATTCAGGAAAAATGATAAAGATAAAGAAGATACAAATGAGCATTCTTTGAACTACCATATCTCTGAATATGCCGTTACAATCTTTTATTTAACCAAAGTATCTGGATGAAGAACCATTGATACAAACTTTGAATTGAAGCTGCTGTAATTTCTTGAATGTAATACCAAACACTTCACATCCTCAAGCAGGATTCTTACGGGTTTTTGGATTTGTTTGGAGGGTAATAGTAACAAAATAATATTTGTGTCTTTTCTGGAGCATACACCATGTTAAATGTGAATGTAAAAAAAAGTAAACATTATACACATAAAAGATTATTTTTAGATATACAATCAAATATTTTTTTCAATAAGATTTAAAGAGGATAGCTTGGATTGAAAGTAGATTTAAATTGTATGTTTTTCTATTATCATTTATTCACCGTACTTTCAAAATTTTGCTCTTGATTTTTCGTTGAGATTTCCAGTAGATTCTAATTACCTAAGGCTAAGATATAAATATAGATGACAGGGTGACGGTGCCACAACCAGTAAAAAACAACACAGATAATTAATTAATTGCTTCGTAAGTAAAATAGTAAAATCAATACTAAATCTAATAGTAACAACATGAGCAACAAAAATACGAAAAATTACTGAATCAGTGATAAACTTATCGTACGGATGTCAATTCAATTTCAAACTTGTCAAAATTGCCAATTTAGCCCTAAACATGTGCCCCAATTTCTAATGCAGTCATTCTGCCCAATTTTCACCGAAAACCTCCGACGTGATATATGACACATTTATCCTTCGTCAATGTTATATAAGATGATTTTTCAGTCAAAATAACGTTATTTTTATTTCACTTAAGCCACGTTAGTGCCATGTTAGCACTGTTTGCTTTCCGTCTTCCATGTAGGCAAATTTTTAACAGTGCTCATTGACAGAACTTTGATGGAGGGTAAATATATCACACAAGTACATGTCTGAGATTTTTGGTGTTATAGAAAAAAATTTAAGGTACATCTGTCGCAGTGGGAAAATTTTTGGTGGCTTCTACCCTCTTGTTTTTGATTATCAAAGGGCTTCGAAAAAATGTTGAGTTTTTTTACCTAATCCTTAAATTTTTGGACGGGCTTCACCTATTCCCTCTTTATGGATCACCAGTGCATTATAATTCCTGTAAGCGAGTCAAGGGCGTGCCAACTCGCAACTTCCGCCATTTACGATAGTTAAATTGCGATTTTGACCTCATCCTGTTCGGTGAGTAACTTTGTTTCGATTTGATTTCCTCGACCTAGATCGTAATATCGCAGAAGTTTTAGGATCAGATAGCATATGACCTATATGATAATACTAGGATATGAAGGGTCGACCCTTAGATCTGGTTTTCTGGTCGGGGTTTGGCCCTTGACCATGACCCCCACCCCAACTTTTTCTCAAGAATTCATTTGAAATTCTTGAAATTAGAAGAGATTGACCCTAGATATTATAGATCAACACCCACCTTGTATCAAGAGATGCAACGGCAGTTTCGAAAAATAAGGGACATAGGTCATATTTTGCTCGAGTGCGTGAGGTGTGTTTAACTTCATCCATTTCTTTTTTCTTTGGTAGTGGGTTAATTGGCCAAGCTCTCCTGCAGATCAAAGTTCACAATGGACCATCAAAAGAGATGCACTACGGCCAGAGCTCGACCCTTTCTTTTTTATAATACGCTTGCAATTAGGATACGGCATCCCTGCCGATTGCCGATTGGAGTGCTGTTTTTATCTTTTCGGCATCCCTGCCGATTGCCTTTGTCCTTAGAACAACTCTCGAAACAGAATTCTTGGTCAACTATGGCAGAATGCAATAAACAGAATACCATAACTATTGATACAAAATCCCAGAGAAACCATTGAAAGAGAAAATTAAAAACCCCCCCACAAAATCCATCTAATATCAATTACAAAACAAAGGAAAAGGATGTCAGACCCAATATCTTACATTACTTCCTTTTGTTCCTTTCTTCCCTTATAAACTTAACTGAAAACCGTTCAATCATCTCTCAGGGAAGCAAGTTCCTCCAAAACACCCCCCCATAGACCCCAAAGAATTACTTGTGCCTATATTATTCTCTTGCTGATGTATTCATTGCAGGGTCACAAATCTCATCTTAAAAAACAAAAACAAAAAATATCAAATGCAAGAGGGCAACAAGGAGGAAATGATTAAAAGACCCTATGATGCTCAAACTCTCAAAGCTCTATTGCTGCCTCTAGGATTGCACAGCCAGCCTCTGAAGGTGTTCAAAGAAAACTTGAAGACTCACATCATCGGTGAAAATCACATCCGACCCAGCAGTCATTTCGTGGGCGTTATTGTATGTGGCTGATGGGTTCAACTTTGCCAACAAGAACCTCGCCTGCTCATAATGCAAGAGAGAATAGAAACTGAGTTCTCTAAAAAAGCAATGATAGAGTATAATGCATAATCTCATGGCAGCCCAGTGCATGCAATAAAGGATCTAGAATTTTGTGGCGCGTCAGGAGAACAAGCATAGTAGATAACGTATCTAACACCAAATCAGAAATTTCTGGGACAATTGAGAAGTGACAATATGGCACAGTGTAAGTTATTAATTCGCGGATATGCGGAGAATTGAGGCAAAGACTACAAGGAATGTATGTCAAGCCAAAGCTTGTAACTTTGTCCATAGGCTGAATGTCCTCAAGCAAAAAAAGAAAATGATTGTTCGAAAGAAACACTAAGCTCATATGCAGTTTCGAAATAAGCTTGTAAGAAGTACTTTTAACAGTCTTTGGCTTGACAGAGAACAAGACGCACATAATGTCGAACATTAAGGCTACTATTTTTTTATCTTATGTCATAAGAATAAGCACAAGAAACAAAACGAAATGTTTTAGAATGAGGGACTGTAGCAAGGCAAAAGACGAAGTAGATAAAAGTGCTAACCTGTGATCCATGCTGATCACATACAACCAATCTGGGAACAGGAAACCGTTCACGAATGATCATCTGCGCATCATCATTAGGAGCTTGCAATAGTTGTGCAAATGCCTGTAAGTAGGAAAACACAGTCAGATGGAACATCGAGTTATGGCTTAACCAAAAGCAGCGCTAGGCAGCATGCTGTCCCAAAAGATTTTTCTTGAACTTTGGCCTAGATACCAACAGATCAAATCATATACTGTATATTTGTAGTGTTAAGTTATACAGAGGCAGCAGAACAGAGCAAAAAATCTCAATCAATGTCGCGATATATCTTACCATGTAAATTTAAGTCTTAAATAAAGTATGTGCTGAACAACAAGCATTTGGGGTTAATATTTACTCTACACACGGTTGAGCGGCACCATATCAGATTCCAGCAACACCACTTGAAAAAGAATTACACAAACATAAACATCAAGCAAAATTTTTTTATCAAAACCTTCACCATCGCATAAGTCTTTCCACTGTTTTATCAAATCAGGAACAAGACCAAATCAGGAAGACAGAGTCCGTCTTAGGTTCAAACCCAACACGAGGCACATTCACTAATAGAGCCATTTGAACACATCTCCCACCACATAACTATTCCCGGGTAAATGAAATAAACAAGAAAAAGCCCATACTTTGGTTTTACTTTCAACTCCAGCACAAGGTTACATCTTATCAAAACCATCTACCTGATTAGTACATCAAAAGCAGTCTGCTTCAGTCTGTCACTACCATTTTCATGCATTAGCTACGGAATCGACAGTATCTAAGCAGTGACATGGCTATTGGATAGTGGGCAATTCAGTTGATGAAGCTTCCATCAATTCTATCCTAAATAAGCTAAAATCAAGTCGGTTGACATATAACATAGGTTAATCAAGTTAAGAAAATCGGCAAACCAGGTAATTAAGTTTCCATTATAAAAACCTCGATTGACATTTCTAGAAATATTTGTATTATAGACAACCCAATTCGGGCAAATTAATCTGCCAGACTGCAAAAGCTAAATTTTAAGTGCTGTAGTTTATCCACCCTGACCAAAACAGGAAAAGTACAGCGGTAGTCTTCTTACTAAATAGTACAAAGGCTATATCTCCCATCTGACTTACAAAAGATGTTTGCTGAAGAAGCTAGTACCATAGGAATTCTAGCTTTTACAAATTTTAGGGGAACAGAAAAAAGTTTAGGTTTGTGTACGAGCATTCCAATACCCATTTGAATCACATTTTCAGAGAACCAACCTGGTGCTCCGGTTGATTCTGGTATCCCATGTTACGCCATTGAGCTATCGTCATTCCATGGAAAATGACAATGCTAAAGTACGAGTCTAGCAATAGAATACGATCAGCTGCTATGGAAGCTACATCCAGCAAAGCCGGCGCTGGTAATGAATTGAATGAATATGATATAAGTGACGGTTGAATCATGACTGCAGCATTAGCAATATTTTCACGGTTTAATAGCATCCGAAAGTAGGCAGTCTCATCTGGACTATTGTTGAAAACCTGCAAACCACACGAAGGCCTCTCCTTAATAAGATCTGTCAAACCAAAATCTTTCACTAAGAGACACACCAAGATTACCTGTACAAACTGCGACCGCCGTAGATTGAACAAAAATTGAGGAAACAATGAGAAACAAGGATTTAACATAAAGGATGTTGGATCATCCTTTCGATAGTCACCAAACTTGGAACAAACGCGAATAAGTTTCCTATCCAACCACCGAGTAGCATCAAATCCTTCCTGCTTTGATGAAAGGAAAAATTAGGAAAAGGATGACCAGAGACCAGGCAACGAGGAGCAGTTAAAAAACGATATTTGGTAAAATAAGTTCGGAAATTAGGGTCAATTGTCCAGCTGACAAGAAACAAGGAAAGGAACACCACCGAATCAGATTCTCATCACTCTTAACCTAATTTTTGCTCAATGAACTCATCATAGCATACATGATATGATTTTAATTTAAAAAGAACAGGAAACAAGCGTTCAGGAGAGTAAACACACTTAAGAGGCACATGAGTTTCTTTACCTCCGTCTCCATTTTGAAGGAAGCTATTCTTGCCATTACCACAGCAGCTGTCTCCTGATCAAAGCCTTGTACCAGGTCCTGGTAGCAGATATTTTTATATTAACGAAGGACAATATCCAAACAGTCAACTCTGACAATTAGACAAGAATAGTAGGAGGTCCACATAGAGCTGAAAGAAAAGAATACACACTAGACCTATTGTCATTAGTTCTTACACAGTCAGCTAAAGAAATTTGACTATTCAGGCTACCAAATCATGTCAGCACTCCGAATGCCGTTTCAATCAACATGAAAGTCAATTTTGTTCTCTCTTGCAATGAAATGAAAAAAGACTTGGATAGAAAGTGAGTAGATGGCAATTGCTCAAGACCTTACAGAAACACCAGCATCACGCAGTTGTGACCAGAAAAGAAAATTAGGTGACAATGGCACTTTCATAATGATAAGTTCGAAGTGGACAAATAGTACCATGAAAGTAACGTCCTCCAATTTCCACATCAAGGTAACTGTCAGAAGTATGTAGTACACATGAACAAAAGAGAAAATGGAGATGCATAATCTTCGTAGATGTGGAAGTTAGTGCAAGTAGTCACCATTGGCAAAACATGTTACTTGATTGGTCAATCAACTACAAGATCCACCAAAATCAATCAGCAAAAGATCAAGGGACTAATGGGGAATTTCATCAACAAAATTGATAAACAAAAATGTCACCTTGGCTTTCAAAATATTCATATTAAGTATAAGCACACACCTCAGAGCTGACAGAACTGTCTATCCATGTTCGAGTGACTGTTGTAACTCTAAGCATTGATTGACCTTCAGGGTTCTGATAACTACAATTAATACATCATACAAGTCCATCAAAGAGCGGAGGTTGCAACAGCATAAAAGGAGCAGAAATATTCAAGTTTCTCATCAAAATGAGTCACTCGTTATACCTTGTGAGGAACTGCAAATACAATTGTGGGTTTACAGTTCCAGGAGCAGCAGACCGTTCACTGGATGAAAGATCAAACAAGACAGTTAAGCAAGTACTCTTGTCAAGGCCACACATTTTCCACGCTGTAGTGCCACCCTCCCCAGTGACCGTGTCTGCGACAGCTGGTCCTTTCTGCAACGCACATAGAGCAACTCTCATTCTAATTAAATCTCATCCACATAATATACAATCTCATAAGCAACTTGGGAGGTACCCTACCTTCTCCAAAGAAGAGCAAGGTCCAAGGATACCCTCTATTTTGATGTCCTTGGAGCAGTTTATCTCAAGTATGCCACTGCAAAAGTAAAAGAAAAAAAAACTTGATATTTCGTTAATGTTTTGCATCTTGGCAATGCAACATGGTTAATCAATGGGACCATGACAGCATATTTTTCAAAACCAACACAAGATGGGAAATAATTTCCTGGCCACATGGATACACGTGCCCCAAGAAGATGTACACAGGAAGTACAGGCTACAATCACAAAAGCATTAGACACTCCGAAAGATTTCTTGTAGAAGTTAGGTATGTAGAACATAATATAGCCAAGGCTGGGATCTAGCTGCCACGATGGGTCCATGTTTTGAGCTTAGACTAACACCCTGAAAAAAAACTTTTCCTAAGCTATAAAGATTCATTCATGTTAGATACCAAAGGCACGGGAGAGAAAGCACCTTCAATGAATTAAAAGTCAGAGCCAAGTGTAATACCAAAACTCAGCAACTGACAAGGACAGATCAACACATAAAGGAGTAGGGACAATTGACCTCATTCATTTTACAAAAGTAACTGTGTAGTTTCATTTTAAAAAATTCTTTAATCAACACCCAATAAAAATCTCTAAAGTTGGTGATTTATGCAAGTTATTATATAATACTGAAATTTGCATGACCGAAGAGCACATAATAGATAGTTGTAAAATTATGAGCATTCAGTGGTTCCACACAAGAAGAATTTGCTTCTTATTAGCTTACCTAACCTTTTAGTGTAAGAATGTAAGTAACAATAATTGTTGAAATTCAATCAAGTGGATCGGTGCTAAATTAGCATGGAGTATGGCCCCACTGAGAAAAATTTCTGAATACGTCCCTAATGGATATACTTCTCCAATTCCTACTTGACAATAGAAGGAAAGCATTGGCTTGGAACCAGTAAAGTGATTAAGTCTTAACGTAATGGTTCTGCTCAAATATAAACAAATAAAAGAAATCAAAAGAAGAAGAATACAATAAGACACCACATATAAGCTAGAAAGTTGAATATATATGGTTGAACACCTAAAAACCACATACCACATCTATCATCTTTAGCAATAGAGAAACATATCATCTCCAAATGCACAAAGATTGCCGAAGGACTTGCAACAAACTTAGCTTGCACCAATCTCTAACAGGAAGCAACCACCATTAAAACTGAACAAAGAAGAGACATAAAAAAAAAAAAACTTACTTGAAGCAAAGTCCAAGAGATTGTTCCCCATCTTCAAATACACGTTTGAAAGAGTCCTTAAATACAGAATGACCAAAACTTTCTGCCAAAACAACCAGACCACCGGTTCTTTCAACCGCAACTTTCATTTCTGCAACCCCAACCTAACAAAGGCAGAAAATGGAAGCCATTATATTAAGAAAAAAAGTCAAGAATAAATGCGAAACCAGTCAGAAACTACTGGAGAATTTTTAGAAAGGCATCTGGTACTTTTATGGCGGTGCTCTCATTTTAGACAACATCCAGAGACATGCATATGTTCACAATTGCAATATCGCAATCTGAGCAAAACAGTGCAAAAAGCATTCTCAGAACAAAACATAACCACTAGAATCAACATAAGTGTTAATATGCCAATGTAAAACATCATTCTAGTTCTCAATCACACTGCCTCTGTTCAGTCTCAAGGAAAATAAAGCAAAGATAAAACCAAAACAATTTATTAGTTGATGCAACAGTGGCTGCTGAAATACTGCCCAGCCTTCACAAGTCCCTATTTGGCCACCGTTCTATCCATAATTTGAGTTTACAGCTCGATTTTTTGTAATACAATATCGTGGGTTGTGAACCAATTTGGTATCTCGACCCAAGAAAAGAAAAAGAAAAATACAAACTGAAATTTCCAAGTGATCTATCATGGAGACGGAGGGATGGGGCCAAAGCCAACCCGACCAGATAGTACACTTTTCAGGCCCCAGCTAGGTTAAGGATTTTTTTTTTTTTTAGTCTATCTAGGGTGTACTAAAGATTGTGATATAGGGTATAACTAGAGCTAAAGTTCAAAAACTTGACCGTATCACCTCCCCTGAATTTTTTAGCGACTTTTGGCTATCTCTCTCCATGAACATAGATCACATCAAGTGTACCAGGTAAATTTCATGTGTCTATTTTACTGTTATAAGTCATCACTTCACAACATTTGTGAGGTGAAAGGAACGCGCCAGCACTAGAGATGATGGTTCACCGCTATTTCCACAGTGGCCACTGTAACATTCTCCTGTACATAATGGATGAAGAAAATGTCACCTGCCCAATCAGTTTGATACCTTTATCTACCAGTATGTAGGTTCAAAAGCACAATCTCTACCTCCAATCAAATTTCTAGTTTTATTTTGGTGATGTTCATCATCCATTCTATGAAATTCTCTGAGGTGAAGCAAACCAAAAATCTTCACTCTTCAAGTTACTCGATTTTAAATTCACCTAAATCAACCCTTGCAGGGAAATTTATGAGACAATAAATCTCTTATTTTTTAGAATAAAGCCAATCTACAGGCACTTAGCGGCTACTTCTGACTTCCACTTAGGTTGACAACAATAGTAGCATACGTACACATAAGATGCACACAGGTTCTTTCTAAGTGGTAAATTTGTTAAATGGGCGCAAAAACTTGCATCTTAGCTCAATTTCATATACGGTCCTACACAACTAATCAAGGTTTATGATTAATGGACTCTTTATTGCTAGTCTATGGAGTGTATACTAGACCAAGGTTTGCTAAATCGTTGAACTTATGCATGGAGACATGTTTTCTGGAGAGTCTTATGTGACCTATTTAACTTTAGGGCAGGTCCTTGGCAATCCACAGCTATATTCAGAACTACACTCCAGATCAAGTGTCAGCGCCATGAGATTTGCATACCTTAGTTTGGCAACCCATGTGTGTACCAAAGATCATCGTTACACTTATCTCAGATAACCATTATATTTATTAACAGTGTATATTAGTATGTTTACTTGAAAATGTACATTAGACCAAGCATATCTGCATGTTGAACTTGCCAGCCTACTTACATATTCGGAAAGTTTCCATGTAGTTTACATAGTTATATAGTGCATCTAGAGTGCTGGGAATACAGAATATATACAGCATATAGCAAAGTTAAATTTCTGGACTGATTTAACTACTAGTCTATGGTTATTTCTATACATATGGCAGTGCATGCAAGGTTTGAATCATAGATTCATCCAAGTCTTACAGTGAGTGGCATGTAAGTCGACTTTGTTATGTCCACTGCAAAAATCTTTATGAACAGAAATAAGAATATGTTTTTGACCAAGTGCTTCGACTATTTTATAAGTCTGATGAATGTGACGGAGATCGCAGGAAAAACTGTATCATCCTGCTAATTGGAAGTACAATATGCGGTGTAAAGAGTCAATAATAAGATTGAACGCATAAAAGTACATGCATAAAGAGACAACAGAATGCATCCAGCAACAAAAAGGCTGACTGATATACCTGATCAAGGGCTGATGCGAAAAGATCTAAAACATGGCCCTGGCTGACCAGCTGCTTAGCAAGACTATCATAAAATTTGACTGCTTTCTTGAAATATGGTGCAGCATCTTTGTCAAGATCTTTATGTGAACGTACAGGATCTGATAAGTCTTTGGATACAATCTGTAAAATTCAGCATGATTAACCGATCTTCATTCAATACATGAATAATGATAAAGTAATACCAACTTCAGAGGAAAACCACTCAGAAGTAATCATCCCTCCTCTCGAGAATTCCGACCTCACCCCCCCCCCCCCCCCCCTCCCAAAAAAAACAAAAAATAAATCAACATATGAGGAAATTCTCATCACATAAGAGAACATGCTTAAGGTTAGGTATCCCCATATGCTCATACAACAAGTATTAAAACAAAATTTAAAAAACAAAACTCACCTATACTTATACAAAGAGCAAATATTTGTAGACTGAGTTTTAACAACTGCTACATGCAGACAGAAATCATCCTTTTTCCTTCAATCTATCTCAATCCATGTAAATCAAGGTGCATGCAACCATGGGATCTATTAATAACAAACGAAATATAATGTCGATGCTTACAGGAGACTGAAATACGTATTCGGCCAAAGAAATTAGATAAATCGATAAAATATCAGAACAGATCATTAATACAATCATAAACAGATTAAAATCAAGGATGAATCAAATAACTCTGATAATCAATCATGGACCTCATAGAAACTCAAAAGAATATAGGAAGGAGTAACGTGAGCAACATAAGAATTATCCAAACCATCAAGTCTCCAGAAAACAAGGAAATTCCACCCATCCCCAGAAGCCAATAAGCTCAAGTAAGTCTGGCTCTTATTTTCATCAGCAAATACTGACTGACAGAACTCGGCTTTCTTTTCTATACCTCTCGCCTCTCAAGCATCTAAACATGTACTGTGCAATAGGGTTAAATTGACTTGCTCTAATCACTTCACAAGGATCTACTACAGCAATATCTTGAAGCAAAGACAACAAGTGCTGGGGAAAAACAAAGCTGAATGAACTCACCGTGCCCGGTCCTTCAGTGCATGGTCCTCCAACCAAAGCAATTATCCGAGCTCCAGTCCCAGGGAGACAAGCCCCAACTAATCCGGCTGCAACGCTCAATGCAACTCCCGTGCAGCGCGCCGCCCGATTACCTGGCGCAACAGGCCACTGATCCGTCTGCAATTCATCCAACAACTGCAAAACAAGCACCAAACTCAATCAATCAATCAATCAACCAATAAATGATTCGCCCATAATTCCGACTGCCAAAGCACCAAAAGAACGCACCGAATTGAGCGTGTACTCGCACTCGGACGCAGGCAACAAGAACCGGGTAACAACGGAACCTCCTGGGTACCCGTTTTGCACCATCCCCTTCTGGAAACCAGGGCCCCCGACCCGACTACGCGCAGAAACGCCCAGACCCAGCTGCTCCAGGACCTGCTCCTTCGCGATCTCCTTACTACCTCGAAAGACATAAACTTTAGACATCTCGGAGAACCCCAACTCGTGGACCTGGACCTGCGTCCCGAAGGAGACGAACCCGACGAGGGCGTTCTCCGGCAGCAACCCGATCGCCTGCTTGAGGGCCGACTTGGCGAAGCCCAATTCCTCCTCGATCATGCAGGTGTCGAGGACGAAGATGAAGACGGGGGAGGCATGGGAGTGCGGATCGCCGGGGTTGTTGGGGGTCATGGAGGGGAGAGAGTACTGAATTGTGCCGTACTGGGGGTAGAGCTCGCCGGGGAGGTTGGTGTCGGAGATGGCGGCGTAGTGCGGGGGGAAGTGGTTGCGCTGGTAGCAGAAGGGGCAGATCCAGATCTTGGCGGCGAAGTCGACGCGGGAGAAGGGGTTGAGGACGGCGGAGCAGGTCTTGCAGCGGAGCGGAGCGTAGGGGAGGGTGGGGATGTCCGGGTGGGGACGGAGCGGGGCGATGCAGGCGGCGAGCGGGATCACGCACTTGCTGGCCTCCACCTTGGTGCGGGGCCACACGTTCCAGCTCATGCGGACGCCGTCGATGCTGCTCTCGGGATCCATGCTCGACATCTCCGCAGACATGGTGTGTGTGTCTCTCTCCCTGAGGTTTCCGGGGGGGATTCCCAGATGTCGAGATCGAACGCGGTCGAATTTGATCTCCCTACGTCGTCAATCCGATCTCGATCTCGGTCGTGATGGCGGCGGCGACGGCGGCGGCGGCGGCGGCGGCGACGGCGGCGATCGCGATCTCTCTCCCGGAATGGGTGGGTTGGGGGGAGGTTTTTGGTTGATTTTTGCTGGGGGATTTCGGTTTAGGGGGGAGGAAAAATTAAAGAATTTTGGGGCTAACGACGACTGGGGCGGAGCAGTCCCGGAGGAAGAAGACGAGACGCCGAGTTTTTTTTTTGGTCAGAAACGAGACGCCGAGTTGGCCTTGGGCTTTATTTGTGAATTGCCCAAAAGCTGCCCTTCCCGTTCGTTGATATTTGGTTTGTTTAGACTAAAGTCCTCAAAACTTATCAGAAAAGTATAATTGAGTCTTAAAATTTATAAAAAATTACAATAAAGTCATAGAATTTATCAAATTGATTAAATCAAATTCTAAAATTTAACATCGTCAAACTTACTAAGGCCACGAATGATAATATTTCTGTTCCAGAAATCAATTTCTGGCCAGAAATATATTTTTATATTTCTATTCCCTATATGAGTTTCTGAGCAAAAATGCGCATTTGATAACAACGCAAAATTTCTGTTTCGAAAATAGAAATTTCGTTTGATAATGACACAAAATTTCTCCTTTTTCGAGCTGCCGGGTGGCAACGGGGGGCGGAGGACGGTGGCCAGCCGCGGCGTAGGACAGCGGCCAGGCGGGAGACGTTCGGCGGGCGGCGTCGAGCGGCGGTCGGCGTCAAGCGGCGGAGCATGGCGGCGAGCGGCGGAGCATGGCGGCGAGCGGCGAAGCATGGCTGCTGACGGTGGATCACGGCAGCGGGGAGCGGCGGCCGGTGGCGGGAGGCAACCGGTGGTGGGTGGCCGCCGGCGTTAGGTGGCCGCCGACGATCGGCGGAGGGTAGCCGGCGCCGGGTGGTGGTCAGCATCGGGCGACGGAGGACGGTGGCTGGCGGTGGAGGACGGTGGCCGATGGTGGGTGGCGGCCGACGTAGGGCGGCGGAGGATGGTGGTCGGCGGGAAGAGGCATCAGGTGGTGGACGGTGGCCAGTGGGCGGTGGCTGGTGGCTTCCGAGTGACCGTCAGGTGGCGGCAAAGGACGGCAGGAGGTGGCGGTGGGCGGGTTGCGGCTGGCGTTGGGCAACGAAGGATGGTGGTAGGAGGAGGCGGTCGGCAAAGAACATCGGTGGGAGGCGGCCGGTGGCCTACGACGGGTGGCGGCCAGTGGCTGACGGCTAGAGGCAGCCAACGGTGGCAGGCGGTCGACGATGGCAGGAGGCAGCCGGCGACAAGGGGGTGGCCGGCTAGTAGCGAGGGCGAGCGATGAGAAGAGTTTCATTTTCTCATTTTTGTTCCAGAAATAGAAAAGTAGATTTTTTTTACTTCTGATTTCTGTTCCAAACCTATTTCTAGAATAGAAATTTATTCCAGAAATAAAAAAATGAAATTGCATTACCAAACAGATTTCTGTTCCAAACCTGTTTATGGGAACAGAAAAGTAGAAAAATAGAAAAACAGAAATGATTTCATGTGCGCCCTAATTGGTTGCCGACCCTCGCCTAGACCCGGCCGAGGGCCGCCACTAGCTAGGCGAGGGCCTACGGTCGGTGGGGGTCGCCGGCCCCTCCTGGCGATGGCGGGGCGGCAACGGCGAGGGCTTCTAGCCCTCTCCACCTATCCTATTCCTCTTTTTTTTTTTTTTTAGCTTATGTTGACACTTAAATTTTGGCGATCCAGTCAGTCATTCGTTGCATAAAAAATTAGAGATCAATCCCGGTCCCTAGACAAAAAAAATTAGTTAAATTTTATATAGATTAGGATTATTTGCATTAGTAAATAGGTCCATATAATTGCATTTGCATTGGACCGACGGCGAGTGGACTCAAGTGAATGGTTTGAGCTTCAAGGGACCAAGTGCGCGGTGGCTAAAATCACGTGCGTCAAGTCAGGAAAATCTAATGAAAATTCAAGACAATAAAGATATTAGCTATCACATGGCCGATAAAAAATAAAAGATAATCTTTGGGGTATATGTGCGTACATGGTTATATCAATTTTGATTGGGAAAATTCGGTCAATATTGAACGAAAGGAAGAAAGAGATTCGGCCATGAGGGGAGCATTTGGGCGTGTATATATGCACGGTCCGGAAAGAAGCAAAAGGAAACAAGGAAACTGTGATATTCTTGAAGGTGGCCCCACGATCTCTAGAATATTGGCAGCATACTAGAAAAGAGAGTATAAATAGAGGGGCTCTTTCACAAGACAAGGGGGAAGAGGCCACACATATTGAATACACGGCCAAAGAGAGAGAGAGAGATCGGGAGTGGGAGCCGAGAGAGAACGCAAAGTTCTTCAGAATTGAAGATGGTGAGTGAACGGTGGTCTTTGGGGTCCTCTTCGTGAGTGCAGTTTGACTATCCTCATGCCTGAAGATGGTTCAACACACAAAGGAGACCAATACCCAAAGCGAGGAAGCAAAGCTCTGATTTTTGGTTTGGCTCGTCCAGTCCTTGCTTAGCAGCGCCATATCGACGTGCTCCTCAACGACCAGCAGCTTCCATCTACCACAAGGCATTTTTCCAGTACACAACCGACGACCATTGTCTAGCTTGAACCTGATCAACTACGATACTGCTGCTGCACCGAAAACTCCATCCGCGACGCCACTTGCCGAGCCTTGCATCGACGACGTTGCTTCCCAGTCCAATCCATACGTCCTTTCTGGCGTGCTTGTCTTGTTGCAGCGTTCCTGGTGCTTTCCTTGGCGTCTCATACACATCCGGCCGTGTTACAGCTTCTTATTGGCATGATAACACCTCAAGCAACACACATATAATTCCTTCAATTGTTCTTTTACACGTGTAGTGCAAGAAGTTTTTCTTGTGCAGGTGCTTTGGTGTTTGAGAACGCCTACAGTATTGTTTTGTTCTCATTGCCAATTAATCATCGCTAGTCGTATCCTCATCATGGACACTTTGCCGAGACCATCATTCGTCAAGCATTACTGAAAGCCCCACCGCAATCCGAGCCATCCCGTCAAGTTCGAAATTGAAAACACTATCCAGGTGGTATTATGAATTAGGTAAGAATCTTCATTAATTCAATTTTCGTATATTTTGTTGCCTAATTTGTGAAATTGCAGTATTATTTGAATCTTCAAATATTATTCATATCCCTGAAATCCTCAGATAGATTTAAATTAGGAATTATTTCCTAATTTCATAACGTGCTATGGTCGTCAATTCAATCTCCCGGCCGAGATATGATTCGCGACCGCACGGAAAATCGTCAATCCAATCTCCCGCCCGAGATATGATTCGCGCGTGATTCTACAAAAATTGGCCAATCTAATCCTCGTGCCTAGGATACGATTCATCAATCTATTTCCAAAACTAGATGGATATTGATAAAATCTTGTGTGATTCGATGCCGTGTTTGACGTGGATATGATTTCTTTCTATCTTTGTTTTATTTGAATTGATTGTCTTTCCATATAAAAAAATCCAAAAAGATTAGATACTATTGAAGTATATGATTTTAAAGGTAGATTGCATGTTAGAGAATTTAATTAATTTCGAATTTCATAGAAAATTACAAAAAATACCGTCTGCGTGTCATATAGTTTAGATTGCATCATGCTTGCATGTCATCTTGTCACGTCATTCATAACTTAACATGTGTCATTGTTTGCATGTCATTATTGCATGTTTGGTTCATGAAATTGTGTGTCATGCTAAAATAGTTACATATTAATTTTGCTTGTCATTAGAAATTCATGTCTAGGTTCGTTGCGTGCCATATTAGAGATAGTCCTTTTAATCGTCATTAGAGTTAGGACATTTACGTAATCGTATGTCGCGTGTTATGTTAGATTAGTAGTATGCATTGCATATAGTTTAATTTCCACTAAATAAGAGAAAATTCCAAAAAATGCATTGAGTGAAATTGCGTGTTAATTAAAAATTATATTATGATTGTTAATGTGATTTTCTAACTAACATTGCAGATGCTTTCGTTGCTTTGACATAAGTCCCTATCTTGCAATTTATTTATTGCTTTGCATTATTGAGTGTTATATTATTGATTGTGCACCCGCATGATCACCTCGCATGTTAATGTATAGGTTTAAAATCAATCCAAGCTGCCTGCAAATTTTTTTTGAAATAAAAGAGAAAAGATACCGAAAAGGCATTAGAGTAATCTAGTATAACCAAGTCCCCGAATCCATAATCTCTTATTCGTAGGAGTAAAAAATTCACCCGATACTTTACTTGGGTTTCTAATCGACTCACCAAAAAAATAGATTAGTGGCGACTCCTGATTGAAATAATTTGCATATTAAGAACTTAAATCCAAAGTCGTGAATTGGTAGGGCTTAGGAGGGCCCGAGTTAGACTTAGGCTTAGTAATCCATTAGCCGAATCCCTAGGTGGTGCACTGCAGGAGGTAATGTCGCAACAGCTTATTTCTAAAATTTAATTTAAATAAAATTAATATTAAAATAATAAAAAAAGTCATGTCATCTCCACATAGGATAGAAAAAATAATTAAAAATCGCATCAGTATTTTCCGTTAGCCAAATTGGACAGTGCTAACTTTAGGACTCAATTGATCCAATTTGACAAGTTTTAAGATTTAATTGTATTTTTTGTAAGTTTTAAGACTCAATTGCACTTTTATAACAAGTTTTAGATCTTCTAGTGAACATATCCCTTGATATTATAATTTACTTGTTTTGTAGAAAAGTTAATGATTGTTAAAATATGCTTTTCCACACTGAGCCCTTTTCTCTGGCTTAAAAAAGATAGCAATAAGTGTATTAGGGTGCGCATGAATACCATTCTGTGCCCGGGCGCTATTTCTGAACAGAAATGATTTTTTTTTTATTCTGTGCCCGGAAACAATTTCTGAGTATTTGAAGGCGTTTGATAAATGTCCAAAATTTCTATTCCTAGAGTAGAAAAGAACAGAAATGCGTTTGGTAACTACATAAAATTTCTGTTCCCAAATAATATTTTAATAATATTTTGAATTGTTTAAATTTTTTTTT